TGTGCGGTGCCAGGTGTGCCTATTCCAATAATTATTATTTATTTTAAATAATAATAATATTATTATTATTAACAAATGACGTGGAAAAGAAAAAACAGAAACTAACCATGACGAAACCATGTCTTAAAGTCAAGTAATCAACCTTAGGAACGGATCGAACAAATTGTCGGAAGAAACAAACCTATCCCAACAAAAAAAGATTTAAACTTTAAAAAATATATATTTTAGAGATATTTGAATAAGAAAGCACGTGAACACATAAAGTCTTTCTAGTTAATTAATGCGTTAATTAATTATTTAATTAAATTAACATAAATGAGATGGTTTGGCTTACAATCCACATGAGGAAGGGCGATTTCGTCCAGAAACTTAAATGTCTTCGGCCGAACGACGTGTCTCTTGCAAATCGAAACCGTTCTGGATCTGTTGTGTGTTTGAACACAAACATTAGCTCACATGAAAATTAATTAATAAAATATATAATTTTGGGGAATTTTAATTTACCATGTGAAAATTGGTACTCGACCGTTCTCGTTTCATTTTCCCACGACTTCCAGCTCCTCATCTATTTATTTATATTTATAATTTAATTATGAACCGACAAGAAAAAATAATAATAATAAAATGAATTTCCACGTACCTTGGCATTACCCAGAGCTAAAGTTAAGACACAATACAGAACATGGAAAACAGCCAATACGAAGATGAATATATGCAGCTGATGGATTCCTCCTTCCGACACGAACGGAACTTTCCCCTGCGTTTAATTATTTTAATTTAATAAATAAGGAATTAATTTAAAAAAACACACTCCGACGTCGTTTAATATACCCTCTCAGCACATTTGTCGGATCCACCGGCCGCGGCGAGGACACGCCGGAAAGAAGCATTAACAGGGGACATGGCGAGAAGTTTCCGGCGACTATTGTCGGAGTCGATTGAGTCATGAGCTTGGGTTAACTCCAGCTCTTTTTTAGGGCTGCATGGATGCCACGTGGCGGCGACTTCTGGGGGTATACAAACATTGGTGATTAAGCTCTGTCCGACCGTTAGGAGCAGAGAAATGAACCCCAACAGCATCAGCTCTGTAATTGAAGAATTGGGTATTTAGAGATTGATATCAAGAGATTCAGAGATTGATATCAATAATGGATGAGTATGGTACCCGATTTGATCTTCTCCAGAGCTTCGTAAAGAGCTCGTTTGTGCTTCTTCTTAAGCCACTGCAAAGATCAATACAAAATTTCTTCAAAAAACAGAGCAAAAATTGATGGGTTATTTATTTATTTATTTATTTATTTATTTTTGTTACCTTTCCGATGAGATGGAGAATGTGTTCGATGATTATGGAAATCAGAACCAGAACGAAACAAACGACAGCGACGGCCCACGTCGGCGTCTCTTCCAAGGACCTTCCGGCGCCACCTCCGGCCATGGTGGTTTTCTGAAGGCAGGGGAAGAGAGTGTAGATTTGAAGGAAGAATCTGAGAGGGATTTAAATTGGGGGAAGCTGAGAGTGGAAAACGATGACTTTGACTTTATAACGCGTGGAACAAATGAACAGATAAATAAATATAAATTAAATTTTTATATTTATAAATATCGTTTTTTTTTAATGGCGTCTTGCGTTAATTTAATTCCATTTTTATAGAGTCCCTAGTCTCTATTTTTTATTTATTTATTTATCAAATTAATGAGTTTATTTTATTTTATTTTATTTTATTTTTGTTAAAAATATTGGTACCATAAATCCTCACCCAAGTTGTGTACCATTAATTGTAATTTAATTAGTCAAACATTTTGTAACATTCACATTTCTTCTAAAAAATAATAACAATTAATTTCTCTTACTTTTTCTTGTATTTATTATCAACTTATTAATGATTTTAAATCCACACCATTTGTTTGAATTTTTTTATCTATTTATTAGAGTTTAATTATAAATATTTATACAAATATGTTATATATATATATATATATATGTTTGTTAGCCTAATTGTGGTATATAAATTGAATGGTCCCATTCATCCATAAATCACCTACAAACTTTAATAATTTATTGTATTAAAAAATCAACCATTTTGCCGTTCAATTATTATCGCATTTTGAAAAATACAAAAGTAATTTTTTTTTATTTATTTTATTCGAAGGTCGTATTTTTATTTTTATTTTTAAATTATCATTTATATAAATAAATCTTATATAAGTAATTAATGAATTGAGTGGGGCTTGGCTTGACCCTTATATTTTAAATTTTAAAGGAGATTAGGTCGGGAAAATTAAATTTAATTCTCGTAGTCCTAATTCTTCACGTTTGGTAAAAGGTCCCAAAAAAAAACTTTGTTTGTAATGTTTGAATGTCAACGACGAATCATGTTTATACACGTCAGCATTTAAGATTAATCCTTACACGTGTTGATAAGTAATTGAGCATAGAATGTGGACCCGTTGGTTCCTTTAGACCGTAGTTCTAGACCGTCATGTAGATCATTTTTCATATTATTACAAATGCAACCACTCCTTACGACCACACCATTCTGGACCATCGGGATGTTCGACACTTACTTTCAGCATTGAATGTATCAACCTACCTAAATTCAGGTAGTCTATGGTCGGACAACGTATACTCAAGTTTTAGTTTTTAGTAAATAAGGGCACAGAGATTTTCGATAGCAAGATGATAATAAGAAAACTATATATCATGAAAGCAATAAATCAGTATACCACGAGAATTTGACATACAATACAGATGTTGACATGGAATGTAATAAAAAATATAAAATAAAATAAAAGAAGATAGAGTTTTTAAAATAATTAAATTAAATTTTCTGATTAAAAACTAAAATGAAATTTTATTTAAAAGTAATGATTATTGTAAATATCTTTTTCTATTTTCAAATTACATCTTTACCCTTGGAAATAGCAATCAAATATTTTATTTTATTTATTTATTCCATCAGCTTTAATCATGATTAAAACATGTTAATTATTAATTACACAAAATCAATTAAATTTGATTTTATCATTAAACCGCATTGCCCGAAACAAAAAACTAAAACGACGTAGTATTTAATCAGTCATTTTAAATCTCAAATTAAAATTTAATATTAAAAATAAAAATTTATAACTTATTAGCGTCATACAGGACTGATCGTGTAGCGTATCAGACCCACTGCTATTTTCTTTTTATTTTTTTAAATTTTAATTTAATTAACCCAAACTCTGCGGTCAATAGAAGAAACCATCCATTTATTAATTCCTATTTTATTATTATTTTTTAAAATCACAACTAAATAAAGCCTCCTTTTATTATTATATTTGGACAGCAAACTGCTGTCAAGTATCACCAATAAAATTTTAAAAATTCAAAAATTAAATTTATAAACATTATTTTTACCAATAAAATTATATTAAAAAGTTTTACAAATATTTAAAAAAAAATATTAAAAAACGTCACTAAACTTAAAAATGGATAAATGCTCCAAAATTATTAAATAATTCAAGTCAAAATACGAAAATAATAATATTAATAAAAATGTGAAACTCAGTTTAAATGAAAAAAAAAAATCAAATAAAAATTAGGAAGAATTGTGAATTATAAATTATCAATTAAAAAAAAAATGTATAATTTTGTCTTTTAATTAACATTGCATATTCTCCCTTCTAGAAGTAATTAGTCTTTAAGCGAACAAGTTAATGACTATTAAGGAATAATTAACAATTTTGAGCTTGAAATTCTACAAATCCTATGTTTAAATAAATTATATTATTATTATTATTAATGATATCTGATTAATAATTAAAAAAATGTATATCTTAATATGAAAGAAGAACTAATGCCCCGGTCACCGGTTTCAATCATTTAGTTAATTAACTTAATAATCCTTCTCTTTTCCTCTAATTTAACGGAGTTTTTTTTTATTTATTTAAATATTTTAATTAACAATAATTTTATTGTCAAATCAATCAAATCTCACTAATTATATAAGGTTAAATAGAAAAAATATTTAATTTAAATTTTATCTAAAAAATAACCGTTTACATTTACGCCCTTAGACTTTTAAAAAAAATTTAGTATCACGTTTTAAAAATACTCTTAATTTTCTATAATAATATTAAAAAATTTAAAAATAATCGGTACCCATAGACACTTTTGTCCCAATAAAAAAAATTTGAACTTTTTAATTTTTTTAATTTTTTTTTTCAAGGTAATTCTAATAGTAATTTAAAGTGTTTTTTAAAGTATTAATCATTTTCATCTAAAATTAATAATAAACATATTTTTTTTATTTTTTTTTTAAAAATTAAAGATATCATTAAGAAAATAGCAAAATTAAAATGTAAAATTGTAATAAAGATTTGTGCACATGACTTTTACTTTTAGACTATATAAGTCAATACAAATCTAGACTTCTCCCCCTCATAACGGTAGAAACCGGATCAGAGGAAATTGGGTGGGAACGCAATTTCCATGAACCATCATAAGCCATACTTTACTCCGACCCGTACTTTACTCCGACCCGGTCAACGCTCAATTAATTGTTGAGCGTTCGACGAAAGAATAAAAAATATTCGTGAATTATGTCTTTCGTTTCATTTAAAATATCCGTTCTCGTAATAGCTGTAATATTATTCTTGGCCCTTTATGAATAATAAAAAACGAGATTTCGATTGAAATTAAGATACAAAACAGTGATCTAGAACGATTTGATGGTGCTATGATCTTAATTTAGTTTTGCTTTGATAAGAATTTTAGGTGAAACGATCGGAAAGTTGATGTTATATCAGACATAAAATTTAAATTTATATATATATGAGGATAAATTAATTTAATAAAATGAAAAGTTATTTATTTATTATTATTATTTTTTTATGAATTATTACATTTAAAAAAAAAAAAAAGATCATTAATGGGCTCGAAAACTGAGCCCATGTTGGTGGAAACACGGCCCATTTGATTAAATTAGAACCCCTTGCCGCCCTTTTCAAGTTTTGAAGTTTCAAATTTCCATCTAATCCTTTACTGTTCTTATCCCTCCTCTCCTGTTTCCACAGATCTCGATTTGCAGAAAGATCGGCGTTAATTCAACTCAGTTCACTACATTCATTGCAATTAATGGACCCTAAGCTTACTCAGATTCCAGGTATTCATCCGTTTCCGTTTTTCGTCATTCATTTCCTCTGAATTTCATTACTGATTTTTCCAAATTTGATTCAAATCGGCAGCGAAATCCCTTTCCTCGAAACCGAAATTCATCCGAAAGCCATCTTACGAAGCACCGAAAATCACTGCCTATCAACCTCCGATTTCCAGGTACTACATCGCTTTATTATTCTCAGTTTCATTCTGAATCGAGTTCTTCTGTATTAGGGTTTGAATCTTGTTATTACAATTAGACAGAAACGAGTTTTCGGAACTGTTCGAAGCTCAAACATACCGATCAAGCCAGTAAATGAAAATCCCTTAGGCAAGCCCTTAATTGGAGCTATTAAGAAACAACCTAAATCCACCCGATTACCTCAAATCGCGGTCAATGTTACTGCTGATCAGAAGATTAATGAAAAATTGAATCCGAGGCCCAAGAAAAAGAGCCCTAGCATCAAACAGCAAGTTACGGAAACGGCCCTTAAGGATCTGCGAGTTCAGAACGACGTCGTAGAGCCTCATACGCCAGTGATAAGACCTCGGTTGTTGAAGTCGAAGAACGCCGGCACCCCTTACCATACGGCGGAAAAATGTAGTAACTGCCGTTTTGACAAGATGGAGACCTCGTCATATTGGGTTGCTCAGATCAAATTGGCTGAGTCCGCTGGCAAGCATTTTGTGTCGGCTGATTTCTTTCGCCTTGCTTATATCTGCAATGCCGAGGTTAGTGTAAATTACATATTTGAACATCATATCCAGTTAATTATATTTGCCTCTATGAAAATTAAGGTTAAGGAAAGTAAGTTTATCAGGACCAGTAGTTAATCACATAGTTTTGGTAGTGTTTATGAGCTTAGAACTATAGAAAGGAAGTTCTTTGATTTCAAACGCTGAGATGCCAATATGGGTTTGGATTTTCTGGGGAAAATATCCATTTAAATTGTCCTCCAATGAACTGGGCAAAGCATTTTTCTTTTAATGATGTTATGAAATCACAAAGAATCCAGTTAAGAATTTGTGGCTGGCAATAAGAACAAGAGTTTCCCTGAATTTCTTTGTGATCTTTTGGATCTGCTCGGATTTCAGTTTTTACCTTCAGATTTATAATGATTTGTGGTTTATTATAACAGCCGATCAGGAACCTCAGAGTCGAACTAAAGCGTTACTTGACTCGACATGAACATCTATCAATGAACACTGAGTGGAAGGATGTGAGTTTTAGCTACGGCTTAATTCAAGATGACGACAATGGCGGCCCCAAGAATCCGTCCACTGAAATTTGTGGCAGTGAAATCAACAAAGATCATCAGATTGCGGCAATGGAATCTGGGACACCAGAAATCAGTAGCAGTAAACTTGACAAAGATGAGATTGTGGGAGCCGATGTTGGCGAGCTAGGAACCGAGACAAGTCAAAGATGGCCAAATTCTTTGTCTGTAGAACCGGACAGATCCATCAAAGCTGACAGGTGAACTTGATTTTATAGCCTTAGTTCATAGCCATTACTGTGCATGTGTTGTGTAAATGAATGTACTGTCCTTTGTGCTTGGCATTGCCTTTTTCACATTCCATTTCGTAGACCAGGCAAAATGACTTCAATATTGTTATTCTAAGTTATATATAATATATGGCTTACCCGTTAGTATTCCATTTGTTGTAGGGTAACAGCTTAAACTCACTATTAGCAGATATTGTTACCTTTAGTCTTTTATCTTTAGATTTCCCTTCAAGGTTTTTAAAACGTGCCTCCTAGGAAGAGGATTCCACGTTCCCCTCTCCAACTGATATGAGATCTCACAATCTAACCTCTTCCGAGCCTAACATCCTTGTTGGTACTTGTTTTTCTCTCCAATCGATGTGGGGTCTCACACTTAGTATGTTGAAGTGTTGGTTTTTTTTTTTTTTTTTTGTCAGTTCGATCATCTTGAAGTGAGGGTTTGTAAGTACTATCTTATCAATCGAGAATCAACAAATTTTTTGGTCTAGTTGTGCGATGAGCGAGTGAAAGGTCCATCAATCAGCTCAACAAGCAAGGAAGCAAAGTTGGTCTCATGAGAAAAAAGAAATAATTGCAAAAAAGGACATTTTAGTTGTTGACATCACATAATTGTCCTTACAAATTGGTCCCTAGGGTTTATGCTCTCTTACAAAACCCTCCCAATTAAATTTGGCATGTCCCCTACCCTCCACACCACCTCATTTATTGACATAATTGGCCCCTCTTTCCTTTTTTCTCATTGTTTCCCCCTTTCCTTCCCTAACATTCTTCTTTTATGTTTCCTTCTTTTCAAATATACTTCCCCATCTCGTTCTCGTTCTCGTTCTACAGATAAAGTGCAAATGACCTCTTTTGAGGTCAAACGTTCGATCCCAGCTCCCAAATTATACAAAACTTAGTGACCGGTTCCAAAAACCGCCATACCATATCAGGTCATCGTCACACTGTTCCAAATCCAAATCTCGATTGAATTTATAATTTTAAAGTACATTGAGGGAGGAGCAATTGATAGATATTGGGCCCTGTGACCATAATAATGTTGAACAACGATAGATATATGAGACCGACTTATCCAACAAAACATGTCGGCCCAATTGTCCCAACAATGTTTTGAGCATCCTACGTTTGATTGGATATTTCAAATCCAAAAGGGGACAGCCATTAGAGGCCCACTACAGGCCCATTTCCCCTCATCTCAACTGTTTCTCAACCATATCTTCTAACAAAATCATTAAATAAAACATCTTTAAGATTCTGTTTTTGTTTCCTTTTCTTTCTGTTTCTTTCTCCCTTTACATCTTTAATCAATCAAACTTTACTATCATTTCCTGTTTAAGATTATTATTATTATTTTTTTTTTTTGTTCACTCTATTGATCCATGCGAAACCTTCTCGAGCACCGAACAGGCAATTGAGATTTGACCTGTCGGAAAACTCGAAACTCTCTCGTAAGCATCCTTCTTTTAGACCTACATGCGATGTGACCCTTGGAAGTATATGAACTAGTAGTGTCTCGTAAGCATCCTTTTTTTTTTTTGGTTAGGTTGACATTTGTTGAGTTGAGTCAACCCGAAAATAGGGTTACAATACAATCGTGTCCTACTTTTACAATTATCATGAAGAATAAGAATATTTTATGTTTGTGGGTGATGATAGTGATGCGTTATGACTCATGAACATTTGATATTTGAATTTCACAAGGTTTTAATTATGAATATAACATATTTGGCGGATAGGTATAATTTTTTAAATGATTAAAAAAAAAACCCGACTAGTCAATCTAACCTAACTCGACAAATAAAGGGTTGAGTTGGGATGAGTCGTGAACTCTATCCTGGTAGCTCTAGTTACCAACCCAACTAATTCGAAATTTCGAGTTGGTTCAAAAGATTTTTCCAACTCAAACGAATCAATTAACATAAAATTAGTCGTAAGGTTTGAGCACGTTGTCCGAAAATTAAACAATTTTAAAAAACTCGAGAATAAATAAATAAATAAATAAATAGAGGATATTTGTGAGTATGAAGTTGGGTTTGGAGTAGAGGATTGAAACTTTGTTAAAAGCAAGTAATTATTCCTACGATGCCCCAATTGCAAGTTTGCCATCATGGGGATACCATTTGTCCCCCTCTAAAGCAGGGCCCACCAGCTCCATTTATTTATTTATTATAATATTTAAAACTGGTTGGATTCCTTTGTTTGGATACATAAATAAGCCGAAATTAAACCACCATTTTCAAACTCTTTTTTTATTTTATTTATTTTTATAAAAAAAAAAAAAAAAAACTTATCCATTAATATATCATTAAATTATTGCACCTTCACAAAACCCCAACAATTTGCTGTGTCCCCCTTCAATTATTGATTAATTTCACTTCTCCCCCTTCCCCTTGAGAGAGAGAGAGAGAGGGGTGAAAAGTGTAAATAAACGGAAGATGGGGGGTTGGGTTGCAAAAGAAAGGAAACGAGAATAAGAATGGGTTTGGGGAGACAGGGACATATGAGAAATAGTACGAAAGATGCGGGCGATTAAAGCAAAAAGACACTAATACAGACAAAATCTACCCGACAACACATATATTGATTAAAGTGTCAAATAAAACAACAACACATTCAGAAATTTTGCTAATTAACACCTTTTCTTTTCACTTTTTTTAATTTCCTCCCCACCTTTTTTAGATATTTGGAAGGGAAGCAACATAAAGTTATTATTTATTTGCAACACGGTCCTTTGAAACCCTTGCAATTACGCTTTATTACTATAATTTATGTAATTACCATCGTTACCCTTCCAAAATAATTCAAAACTAAGGTGTAATTTAATTTTCTTGGAGGGTAAAATTGTAATTTGGAATTGGAGAGAGAGAAGGAAAGGGGACAATGGGTGTTTACGCCTTTAATAAAGGGTTTAATATTTTCTTATTTATTTATTTATTTATTTTGGCGACAATTTTTGGTGTGACCTCTCACTGTCTCTAACCATGATGTTACGTATCTTTCCCTTTTTTTTAAACTTTTTTAATTTTTTCCCCTTGCAAATTTATTTATTTATTTATTTTTAATTTATTTCTTCCTTTCCCACGTGCGCCAAAACGGTCGTGTAAATAAAAATTCCACAAAGAAAAAAAAAAAAAAAATCACCTTTTGAGGATTACAGTTACTGTGTTTCTTTTTTCATTTTTTTTAACGAAAATTTTGTTTTTTTTTTGTTACTATATTATCTTTTATGTTTTTTTTACCAAAAATTAAACCGCCATGACCGGTTCAATAATTATTATATATATATATATATATATATATATATATATACACACGACATTGAGCTAAGTTTAATTTTTAGTTAAATTCGTTAATAATAATAATAAAATAAAGAAATTAATAGGTAAATTACAATAAAATTCTAAATTCTAAATTTATTACTTTATATTAATTTTCACCTTTTAACTTTAAATTCATCCTATTAGGCCATAGACTTAGTAAATTGATGTAATATCTACGGTTATTCAATTTATACTAATTTACTCACTATTTTTAATGTTGAAAAATAATGTAAAATTAATAAAATAACGACAAAAAAAAGAAAAGGAGAAATTTTTATTGTCTTAAAATTACTAAAGAAATTTATCCTAAATCAAAAATATATTTTAACCGCAGCTGTAAAATGGTAAATTTGAAAACCTGGGTTAAAAGGAGGGAAGGAGAGAGGAATATATGGTGGTGGGGCATTGAAGCAGCGCCAAAGGCGCAGGGCTCTGATAAAAACGACTAACTCAACTCACTCCCTTCTTCACTCGCTTTCTCTCGCGTTTATAACACGCGCCTATTTATTTCATTTCCAGGTAATTTCAATACCCGAACAACATTATCATTTTATTTTATTCTCATTTAATTTTTTTTTATCCCTAATATTTTTTTTATGGTTCAATTAAAAAATATAATAGAAAAAATATCAATTACCATTAAAAGAAATTGCAATAAAATAAAATAAATTTGGATCAACTCATTAGAAATTATATGTAAATTAGTAATAATAGTTTTTTAAGCATAAAAAGATATTTGGTATAAAATATATATTGTAAAGCAAATATTAGGAGAGGAAAAAAGGGTAGAGGAAGAAGAGAAGAGCACGCGCGTTTAAAGGGAGTGGGGAACAGTGATTCTATAATTAGAAATAGAAAAAGGAACAAAAGCTGTGGGGGTGAGACGTGAGAGGCAGAAAAGAGTTGAACTCGTACTCTGCTAACTGCTAAGGCCTGCTGGGGTTGTGCGCTTGCGTTTACCATTAGCAATTTGCAGCTTACAAGCAAACCCCGCCCGCTTTACATGCTGCCCAGAACTCTCTATCCCCACCAATGGCCATGCCCATGGCCCCCAATTCTCTCTCTTTCTTGGCATCTTTTTAGATTAGATTAGATTAGATTTGATTCAGTTCATTTGGTTTCTGAGTTTTCTTTTTGCATTTTGGGAGGTGGGCAATGGGGTTTAGGAGCTTTTAATTGGGTTTGCTTAATATGCCCACAACCTGTTTGATAAAATGCGTGAGAGAAGAGATGTTCTTCGTTTATTCGAGAAAAGATTGAACAAAGAGGAAAAGAAGTATTATTTTTGTTGGATTAATCAAAACCAGCCTTTTTGTCTTTGGTGGAGGGCCTGAGTCTCTCACAGTGAAAGAAATTATTAAGAAAGGAGAAGGGGTAGAGGAAGATAAAGCCAAGGCAAAGCAAAGAAGAAGGGGATGGGGGAGTGTGGGTTTTGTTCTGTCTTAGCCTGTCCCCCCCACCCACTCACACATATATGCACTCTTCTCTCTCTCTAACAGTCCAAAAGCCACCAAAGCATTGGCCTTTTTTCGCCTTTTGCTTCTGTGTTTCCTATGCAATTGTCTATGTCTGTGGCTTCTGCTCCCTCTTCTCAGTACCTGCAAATGGGAGAGGAATCATACTTTGAATTTCTTGTTATTATTTGATACCCCTAATTCTCTTTTTTTTTCTTCTCTATCTTTTTAGCCTACTCTTCCTTAGCATCCATCCAAACACTACTTTCTTGTTGTTTTCTGTTCATCTCCTTTCATTTCTCTCCTTTTTTTTTAGCTTTATTGGTATGTTTTCAGCATTCTTTGCCATGATTTGACCTCATTTCCAGTTTTCTACAGCTTTGGTCTTCTTGTCACCTTATTGCCAATTGATATCATTCCACGCCATTTTCCCCTTTCTTGTTTTAGTTCTGTTGGGAAGCATAGCAATAGGACACTTGAAGTAACCCTGGGTGGGTGTTCATGGAAATTGATCTGAACCAAACAGCCAGTGAGGTGGGGAAGAATGCATATTGCCATGGAAATTGTGAAGAGGGTCGCTGCAATTGCTGTTTATCATCTTCAACTTCTTCTTGTTCCTCAAATTCTTCATCAACTCCCGCCTCTTCTTCAACCTATTTGGAGCTTTGGCATGCTTGTGCTGGTCCTCTCACCTCATTGCCCAAGAAAGGAAATGCAGTTGTCTATTTCCCACAAGGTCACTTGGAGCAAATTGCCTCTGCCTCTCCCTTTTCCCCCATGGACATGGCCACTTTTGACCTCCAGCCCCAGATCCTCTGCAAGGTCATCAATGTCCACCTACTTGTGAGTACTGGGTTTGCATTTTAAAATCGATTTCTGCCTTTTTCCACTCTCAAGGAGCCTCACCCGCAGTTTCCCTTTCGAGTTTTTCACTGTTCTTACCATTTTGACAGGCTAATAAGGAGAATGATGAGGTCTACACACAACTTACTCTGCTTCCTTTGCCAGAGGTAGCTTCCATTTGTTATATTACGTTTCTCTTAATTTCGAGTTTGGGAAGGTTAAGAAAATTTGTAGCTTATTTAGTATGCCCATGTTCTGGAGAAATTTTTTCCAGTACGTTTTCTTCTGTTTAAGTTAGCTCAAGATGAGATGACTCTTACCGTGGCTGAACAATAAATTTGGATATTCCTTAGTTATTAGGCACTGGCGTAGAGGGCAAAGAGCTGGAGGAATTGGCGTTGAATAGAGATGCTGATGGAGATGGTAGCGGAGGGTCGCCTACTAGATCCACACCTCACATGTTCTGTAAAACACTCACAGCGTCCGACACGAGCACCCATGGAGGATTCTCTGTTCCTCGCAGAGCTGCTGAAGACTGTTTCCCTCCTCTGGTCGCCACTGCTTTCCCAAGTTTTACTTTCAATTTTTCTCAAATGAAGCGAATTGGGTTCATTTCGATTATTCTATTTGGTATATTCTGAGTGAAGTTGATGGTTACTGCAGGATTATACTCAGCTTAGGCCATCTCAAGAGCTAATAGCCAAGGACCTGCATGGCGTGGAGTGGAGATTTAAGCATATTTACAGAGGTATATTGTGAGATTCCTTTGTTGTTGTTTGATTGGATGACATAATTGAACTCAATCTTAATAACTTGGTGGCAGGTCAACCTAGGCGGCATCTGCTCACTACTGGATGGAGTATTTTTGTAAGCCAAAAGAATCTTATTTCTGGGGATGCAGTGCTCTTTTTAAGGTATCAATCTTCATATTAACCCCTACTATTTGTGGAGAGAAAAAATTAGATACAAATTTATACCTTATAGTGTTGAAATGAAGTTTGAGATCTCGAACCATTAGTGACTGCGTCGTGTCTGCAGGGGCGAAAATGGAGAGTTAAGGTTGGGAATAAGACGAGCTGTTCGGCCTAGAAATGGTCTTCCTGATTCAATTGTGGGCAACCAAAATTCTTGTGCAAATGATCTTACTCGTGTGGTGAAAGCAGTTTCCACCAAGAGCACGTTTGATGTGTTTTACAATCCAAGGTACCATCATGGTTCAGTACTCTTTATTCGTTAATCGTGAAAAAAGAATTTTCTGTACATTACTGTATTATTAGAACGGTTACCTACGAATAGGAAGAATCCTAGAACAAAATGAGAGGTAGGGGACATCAAGAAAACACTTTGCTTTAGGGGTTTTTGCACTTTGGATGTCTCTCTGTGAATATGGGAGATGAACTGGAAATGAATGGATATGTGGAAGTTTGGATCAAATCCATCTAAGAGGAAAATTAATTTATACCCCGAACTTTAAGAGTTGTATCACTTAAAACCTCAAACTAATAATTGTATCAATGAGAACCCGTAACTGTTCTTTCACAAGGAAAGCGTCACAAATGTTAGAATTAAGTTCATCTTGATAGTAACCTTCTTTTTCCCCAGACATACAAAGAAAAGCATTCTTTACTTACTACTACATAGGTATTCTAGGCTTTATGGTCGTTACTTTTCTGAGGTCTGCCAAATATCTGCCAGTGGATCATGTAAATTTGTTATTTATGCTCGTGGATTGTGTAATAGGGGATCGTTAATCATTCCCACGGTTCGAACTTATGGCTTCGTAGAGGGTCATTAATCGTGTAAAATTGTTAGCTTGAACTGTGTTCCCCTATTGTAAGTTTGTGGTAGCTAAATGGTTTCCCTGAAGCTCCTTAAATTTGACAGAAGTAAAACTTGATGCACTAGTAAGAATCAGAACTCTTCATGCTATTTTGAAAGGAATAGTTAGTTTATTCGCCTACTGCTAGCAGATATTGTTCTCTTTGGGTTTTCCCTTTTGAGCTCTCTCTCAAACTTTTAAAATGTGTTTGCTAGGGAGAAATTTCACACCCTTATAAGAAATGTTTCGTTCCCCTCTCCAACCGATGTGGGATCTCACAATCCACCCCCCCCTTGGAGGCCCAGCGTCCTCGCTGACACACCGTCCGGTGTCTGACTCTGATATCATTTGTAACTGCCCAAGCCCCACTAGCAGATATTGTCATCTTTTGGCTTTCCCTTCTAAGCTTCCACTCAAAGTTTTAAAACGCGTCTGTTAGAGAGAGATTTTCACACCCTTATAAAAAATGTTTTGTTCTCCTCTTCGTTCTCATAAATATTCTTTATTTAGTCTTATACTGGTTAATGTGCTATACTTTACTGGTTTGTATTATCATTCTCATTCACTATTAGAACTTGGTAGTGTACTTGACCAGCCTTTACTTGCTTAGAAAATATAGTCACATGTCAATTCATGCCGACTTGCAGGGCACATCATGCACAATTTGTTGTATCTTGTCAGAAGTATGTGAAGAGCATCAACAATCCAGTGAACGTAGGCACAAGATTCAAAATGAGATTTGAGATGGACGATTCGCCAGAGAGAAGGTTATTCCATACATGAGCAAGATCAATGTGCTTTTCTTTGATCAATGATACTTATATACAAATATGTTTATCGGTATCTGTTTCTTGCAGGTTTAATGGTGTAGTTGTCGGTATTGGCGACATGGATCCCTTTCGATGGCTGAACTCGAAATGGAGATGCTTAACGGTAAGGATTACAATCCCCATATCTTTTCTAATTAAACAAAAACCCATTTTTTTAACTGCAAGCAATTGATTTATAATCGATCAGGTTCGATGGGATAAAGACAGTGATCATCAAGAACGCGTTTCACCCTGGGAGATTGATCCTTCTGTTTCTCTCCCACCCTTGAGTGTTCAGTCTTCTCCAAGGCTGAAGAAACTGAGGACTAGTCTGCAGGCAGCCCCACCTAATAACGCCTTTAATGGTACGAGCATTGAAATTGAAATGATAGTTTTGTTTCTTCTAAACTTGAGTTGTTAAAACTTTTTTTGCATTAGGGAGGGGCGGTTTTATGGACTTTGAGGATTCAGTTAGATCCTCTAAGGTCTTGCAAGGTCAAGAAAATGTAGGTATGGTATCACCCTTTTATGGTTGCGATACCGCAAAACGCTCACTGGAGTTTGAGGTGCGATCTTCTGCACAACAAAATCAAGCGTCAGGTGGAGTTGAAAAGCTTAATATAGGTGATTATGTTACTTCTTTCACAGGCTTTATGGAATCTGATAGATTTCTGAAGGTCTTGCAAGGTCAAGAAATATGCTCATTGAGGCCACAAACAAGAAAACCAGAGCCTAGTTTAGGTGTTTGGGGAAAGTTCAATCTCAGTGACAACTCTTTTAACCCATTTCAATCACCAAACTCGAGTTTTTATCACATGGCGTCAAATGGCGCCCGAAACATGTATTACCCTCGTCGTGATATTTACAGTACTGGCCAAGCTGCCATGATGAGCTCAAATGATATCAATTTTCCAAGAGAGAGTGCCTTGTTGAACCCATCAGCAAAAATGGAAAGGGCTAATTCTACTCCTCCAACTTTAGGGTCGAATATGAGGAATTCAAAGGACGAAAATGTGAACCAGAACCGAACTGGCTGTAAACTTTTTGGTTTTTCCTTGACTACAGAAACTGCTACAAACATGCAAAGTTCAGGGAAGAGAAGTTGTACCAAGGTAAGAAAGGTCGGTATGTTCATTTTTCCGTTCATGGAAACATCTGGAATTGCCAAATCTCTCTTTCACGCTCGAGAGAGAATCCGAAGATAGACTTGTTCTATGGCTCTCAAAGCGTTTTTTTTTTACTCTCTGCTTCTTCCATGCTGATATTACTCTTATTAAGTGAAGGTTCACAAACAAGGCAGCCTAGTGGGAAGAGCTATTGATCTCTCTAGACTGAATGGCTATACTGATCTTCTTTCTGAACTCGAACGCCTGTTTAGCATGGAAGGACTCTTAAAAGATCCCGATAAAGGATGGCGTGTATTGTACACCGACAACGAGAACGACGTAATGGTGGTCGGGGATTATCCATGGCAGTAAGTGCTATATCTTGAGATCATCTTACAGCAAATATTAGTTCATAAACAAATTCAAGTTTTGATATCATTCATGTGCAGTGATTTCTGTGATGCTGTTTCGAAAATCCACATATACACAGAAGAAGAAGTGGAAAAGATGACAAATGGAGTGATCAGTGATGATACTCAAAGCTGCTTAGATCAAGCTGCTTTGTGTATGGAAGCATCAAAATCGTCTTCAGTGGGCCAACCTGATTCATCTCCGACAGTAGTAAGAGTTTAACTAATAATCAAGATGTGTATTTATTTATGTGTTTTCCATATCTATCGTTCTGTCTGTCGAGTCGAAGTCATCGGTAGCTTTGCTGCCAAGGACGGCGTCGTGTTTAGCTTTGTGTCTTTCTGCCCCATAGGTTGGAATCTGTTGTTTCAAACCTCTGCTTTCTAATGGATAGTGTGTAAGTCTACTTGTCTTTTAAGCTGTGGAATGGTATGATATTGAAGATTTTGAACTTTGTAGAAGATGATAAATTTGTTTAGCAGCTGCTTGTAACAATTTTTGTTTGTTTTTTTAATGATGAACTAGTAGTTTTATTAATATTTTTTAAAATATTGGCAATAAGAATGTGGGACGTTTTCTCCGAAGCAATCCAATAAGAGTAAAAGCTCTCTCGTTGTTTACGAGCAACCGATAATCATCGTTCTCACTTCATTAGTTCCTGCATCTATTTCATATAGTATTGTATATCGGAGTAGTCGTCCGGTTACGTACTCCTTTATGTACTTGTTGCCTCCTAAACAATGTATGACTAGCAAGTTTGAACATGAAAGTTGTGAGATCCCTCATGGCTTGAAGAGTGGAGTGAAACATGTCTTAAAACCGTGAGGTTGACGACGACACGTAACTGACCAAAACAGACAATATCTGTTAGCGGTGAATTTGAGCTATTTCAAAAGATTTTCACAAACATGTTCTCAATGACTCTATCTTAATATCATTGATTCTCTTCTAATCGGTAAGAAAACAAGACGAGGTAGCAACTATTCACATTTATAGGTATGATAGTATGATAGAGTGTCAATTATTATTTAAGATATATATGAGAAAAAAATGTATTTTTCTTTTTGTTTATTTATTTTCATTTTACAACTTAAAAAAAAAATTCATTTTTTTAAAAATAAAAAGACGGAGATTATAAAAGGCTCGAAGCGACGACGTTTAGGATCACTTCTGGGGAAAGAGAACGATCTGAAAGATCATTTCTTGAGCGAAGGGAAAAGAAGAGCTCTACTAAAGCAGTCGAAAGACTCCAACTTCGCTGCGACTCTCGACTTTGATTCTGTTCCCAATCCATTGTGCCGAAGCTAATCGATCCGAATATGAGTGTAAGTTCATCATCTGAAACTCGAATTTCTATTCCTCATTACATTCCGATTCTAACATTCATCGATCTTCCGATTTTTCTATGCAGCCCGTTGATTCTAATCAGGCGAACCACGGTCTTCTCTGCCCCGAAGCTCCCATTCAAAGAACTCAGTACGCTCTCTCTCTCTCTCTCTCTCTCTCTCTCTCTGTTTGTTTCTGTGGTTACTTTTTGGTGTTAGACTATACGTTTCGTATTCTAGAGCTGGGAATTTTAGGGTTCTAAAGACCTAAGGTTCGAATTTAGAGTTAAACAGTGAATGAATGGACAAATCGAGGTATTAAAATCGACTACTTCTTCTGTCTAATAGATATCCCTATGTGACTGGTACATCCGTGGTTGCCATCAAATACAAAGATGGGATTTTAATGGTTTCTGATTTGGGAGGTCAGTCAAAAATTCTCTCCATTTTTATATTTCTACATCCAGTGAACTGTTCATTTTATTATGTCTCTCAGCATGTTTTTCACTTTTTATTTGTTGATAACAAAACACTTCTGGAAGTGATGTTTCTTTCTTTATGTGATTTCGAATCTCTGATGTATGTATTGCCAAATTATAAGGCAAACCCGTCTGTATTACTTATATGGCGCTTTAACTAACTACAGGCTCCTATGGTTCCACACTGCGGTATAAGAGTGTGGAGCGAATCAAAGCTATTGGAAAACATTCTCTACTTGGAGCAAGCGGAGAAATTAGTGACTTTCAGGAGTTATTGAGAAATCTTGATGAGCTTATGTAAGCCTAAGATGTTTGCTTTATTCTATCTCTTTGATTATGATGCTGTTCTGCATTGGAATTCAGTTGCTTGTTTTGTGCATCGATTTTGATTTACAACTTGAGTGAAATCTCTGATCGTATCGAACGGTGCAGCTTGTATGATAACATGTGGGATGATGGTAATGCTTTGGGGCCAAAGGAGATCCATAGCTACTTAACTCGAGTGATGTATAACAGGCGGAACAAGTTCAACCCACTTTGGAACTCGCTTGTTCTCGGTGGGGTGAAGAACGGGCAAAAGTATCTTGGCACGGTAGATCTTTGGTTCTCTTCGCATTCATTAAAATAAGTTCCTAATATCCGTTGTAAAATAAGATGCTTCATCAGCTAACATTTAGCCACTTTTATTCAGGTTAATATGATAGGTGTAACTTTTGAAGATGATCATGTTACTACTGGCTTTGGCAATCACCTTGCACGACCAATTCTTCGTGATGAGTGGCACGAGAACCTGACTTTTGTAGAAGGTGTGAAATTGCTGGAGAAATGCATGAGGGTTCTCTTATACCGTGATAGATCGGCTGTCAACAAGCTCCAGGTTTGGATTTTTCTATGAGCTACCTTCATTACTTTCTTTGCTGTATACTTTGTGAGCGTGTGATTCGCTTCTGCTTGTATTATCAAATCTCATAAAATAGCCACCCAACACTAACATTTGATCTTCATAGAAATTCATTAGATTTTAAGGTATCATAAAGAGTTAGATCACTATTTTGTTTCGGCCCATAATAGTAGCTACTATCTAGTTTCTGGAACCCATGTTTTGTTCACTGATTATAAGACTTCAATGTCTGGATGTTATTCTCATCATCACATACATTTGAATATGAAATTTACAGATTGCAAAAATAACTGAAGAAGGTGTGACAATCTCCCAACCCTACTCTTTAAAAACATTCTGGAACTACTCTGCTTTCGAGAATCCGACTTCGGGTGCTGAAGGGTCATGGTAGATCGAAGCTTTGTCGTTTATCCGAGATTCCATTTCGGTGAATCGCTGTTTGGGGCGCAACAATTGATAGATCTAAGTAAGTTAGATGCGTCTTTAGATACTTGGTTCTTACTTTGGATTTGTATGGAATCTCTACTTGAACTATCAACTATATCCAACTTGGGGAATGTTTGATTTGATTTCTTGATATTATTATGATCACAACCGGTTGCTTTTCCATTATGAATCTGCCTACTCAATTGCTTGAACCCTTTGATTCACATGAAGTAAAGTTCAATCTAGTTTGTTGTGGGAAAAGCTCTGATTTGTGAGGTTGAAAGTTGAAACTAAATAGATCGAGACGTTATGCTGATACTTCAAAAGGAATTTGGATATCGACACTAATCCAAGTCCTAAACTACAATATAAGTAGGTAAATGACATCGTAAGAGTTTAGCATAATACGACATCAAATACTAAATACTAAATCGAAAGTTTTAAGTTAAAAGAGATCTTCTAATCTTTTTGTTAACTAACACTATGAACATTCTCGTACCTCTAAAGGAGAAGGTACATGAACTTGGGGAGCCATTCTTCGCATTGTATATTCAAATCTTCGGCTTGCTCCGTAGAAGATATGATGCCGACACTGGAACTCGGATTAGGAACAAGCGTCGGTACCATCTCTCCTGCGAAGTAAGCCTTCCATTGCTTTTGTTGCAGACCAATCTTTGTGTTGCTTCTAAATTGTATAGAGAAAAGCTTCCATCTTCCCATCCAGATTGAGATCCAGCTTCTTCGTCTTATGTTTTATGCATATTTAATTTTTGAATGCATTATTTGAAGCTGGAAAAGTCAACTGAATCATTCTTACTTGTTATTTATTTCTGGTGGTTGAGGCTTCATGTCTCTTTTAAAGACAGCTGCATAGTTTTCAATTACATTTACAATATCATGTCTGAGCTCACTCCTCCTACGTCACCTCTATTCAAGCTTCAAAGACAGCCGCAGTTTGGGTGTATTTGAAAATTTTGTTGGACCAAGTCAAAAGTTGAGGAGAACGGACCATTCATTATAAGATTTTTGGGTTAAGTCGTTGGGTTTCTGATTTCTCATATCAGTTGAAGGGGGGAATGAACCAACCATGTTGTTGGGTTTGGGAGTTTCTGGTTTCCCACATTAGTTAGAGAGGAGAACGAAGTAGATATCTACCGGCGGTAATTTTGGACTTGTTACCAATGGTATCAGAGTTACACATACCACTGAGGACGTTGACCCCAAGGATGGATTGTGAGGTCCAAAACTCTCCTTAGCAAAGACATTTAAAAACTTAGGAAAGCTCAAAGAAAAAAAAGTAGCTTGGGCGGTTACAAATTCATTATTTTTTACTAAAATTTCAAAACCAAACATTTATATAAGTAGAAATTCATTTTTGGGTTATTTAATTAAAAACATTCAAACTTAAAAACAGATGAATTTTCAGTTCTAAATTGTCGGATATCTTATTACCTGTGCAAAAAAGCTTGGCTTTAGATTAAAACTTGAACGGGTTTTAGGAAGAATGACCAAACAATCAACAAATAGAACCATTATATGTGCCATGAAATTAAGTAGAAAGAAGACTATTCAGATAGGACAATATAAGCAACGACATTTAGTGTTAAGTAATATTATGAGTATCTCAGCAGAAACATAGAATTCGAAAACTTTCGAGCAACAGGGCGAGAAGAGCAGAAGACCAAACAACAAACAACACAAAAAAAGACCTTATGAGCCATATAGCTGCGCCACCGTCTATCAAGCACCCAATTCTGGGACTGGGTACCTAACAATGACCAACGCCAACAACTATAATCACAAAAGCAAATAAAAAGACTCGATAAAGCAGCACCACCACCAACAAAAACCATCAGGTCTTTATTTCGACATTTATACTTGTAAACCTCAGGCAGACCCAGCTGAGGTTTTCCCACTACGGTTCACTTTCCACCCTTCTTCACTGCGGACTTGGTAACCTTGGCACCACTTGGATCCTTTTTCTCGACCGACTTGATGACTCCGACAGCCACGGTCTGTCTCATGTCCCTCACAGCAAAACGTCCAAGAGGTGGGTACTGGGAGAAGGTTTCCACCACCATGGGCTTGGTGGGAACCATCTTAATCATACCCGCATCACCATTTTTCAAGAACTTCGGCTCCTTCTCGAGTTCTTTACCAGATCGCCTGTCGATCTTGGTCAGAATCTCAGCAAACTTCACGGCAATGTGAGAGGTGTGGCAATCAAGCACTGGAGCATAGCCATTGCCAATCTGCCCTGGGTGGTTCATGATAATGACCTGAGATGTGAAGTTGGCAGCCTCCCTGGCAGGATCATCCTTTGAATTGGAAGCAACGAAACCACGCTTGAGATCCTTGACAGCAACATTCTTCACATTGAATCCGACATTGTCACCAGGAAGAGCCTCTGGGAGAGCTTCATGGTGCATCTCCACAGACTTAACTTCAGTGGTCAATCCAGATGGGCCAAAAGTGACGACCATACCAGGCTTGAGTACCCCAGTCTCAACACGTCCAACAGGTACAGTGCCAATACCACCAATCTTGTACACATCCTGGAGTGGAAGACGGAGTGGCTTGTCCGAGGGCCTCTTGGGCTCCTGGATCAAGTCAAGAGCCTCGAGGAGGGTTGGACCCTTGTACCAGTCGAGGTTCGTTGACCTCTCAATCATGTTGTCTCCTTCGAAACCAGAGATGGGGACGAATGGGATTTTGTCAGGGTTGTATCCAACCTTCTTGAGGTAGGAAGAAACTTCCTTCACAATTTCGTCATACCTTGCCTTGGAGTACTTGGGGGTGGTGGCATCCATCTATGAAACGAAGGGTAAAAGCAAAATTTAAGTTACAAATGAAAACTAAAGGACGACAATGTTACACTAACAGGATAATAAGCCATTATATGTGAAGAATTCTCACCTTGTTGCAGCAGCAGATCATCTGCTTGACACCAAGAGTAAACGCAAGCAAAGCATGCTCACGGGTTTGCCCATCCTTTGAAATACCGGCTTCAAAACCACCAGTAGTGGAATCAATAATGAGAACAGCGCAATCGGCCTGTGAGGTACCAGTAATCATGTTCTTAATGAAATCACGATGTCCAGGGGCATCGATAACGGTGCAGTAGTATTTTGTGGTCTCGAACTTCCACAAAGCAATATCGATGGTAATACCACGTTCACGCTCAGCCTTGAGTTTGTCCAACACCCAGGCATATTTGAATGACCTCTTGTTCATCTCAGCAGCCTCCTTCTCGAACCTTTCAATAACACGCTTGTCGATACCACCAAGCTTGTAGATCAAGTGTCCGGTGGTTGTAGACTTCCCAGAGTCGACATGGCCAATGACCACAATGTTGATGTGAGTCTTCTCTTTTCCCATTTTGAAATTGTAACCTGAAACGATCAATAATTGTAAACCAATCGATCAGTTTAACGAACAACGTCCACCGTACATGTAATTCAATGATACCTCTTCGATATATTTCAATTAAATCTATGAAAAAAAAAACTAATCCAGTTCGCGGATCTTCTAGGACGTGAGAACAGAAAACACAATTATCAATGACAATTCCTTCTAAAATTAAAAGAAAACGAAAACCAAATCCTCCAGAAACTCAACGAATATTACCAAGATCATCTAAATGTTATAACATTATTCAATGATGATAATCCCTTGTACATAATCGCAACAACAATCGTCTAGTTCAACAAACGCGAAACAGAAGACCAATCCTCCTAGACCCAAACAAACATTAAAAAATGCCACAAACTAAATCAAAGACGATAAAATTCAAAATCCTCCAAAACGAATCAACACCTAAATAGATCTACACATCAAAACGAATCCGCCATACAGAAATGGATTAAAAGTCATGCATTCATAAAGAGCAATTAAATCCTATACAAAAACTAATCATCAAGATAAGATAGAATCAAACCTCAAAAGACGAAGATTGATGAATGAGAGAGCTGCCGCGGAATCAAGAAACGAGGGTTACAAAAGAGGAAGGAGATGAAGAATGGTGGAGCTCTTAGACTATCTATAGGAGATCCCCATGACGCATAGCTGGCTAGGGTTTCTTCCTCATCCGTCGGATTTTGAGGGATATGATCCAACGGTTATAATTAACTTCTTAAAGTAGACTGGATACCGGACAAATGCGTGGATCGATTTCAATAATTCTCGTTTATTTGCTTTTTTAAATAACATAATAAAATATTCACTTCCAAATTGAGTCTTCTTTTGATAAATATAGTTAAATTATTAAATTGGAAATTAAATTTATTAGAAGAAGGAAGCCACGTGTCAGTAGCATAACATTTTAATATTTTTAATTAATTTAATTTCTAAATTTTTGCTAGTTTTCAAATTAATTTCTAAAATTGTAAATGAATTTAAAAATAAAATTCATAAAAACAATTTATAGAGTAAAAAGGTATTTTTTAAAAGAAAAATATTTAAAAAATTACGTTAAAACAAAAATAAAAATAAGAAATAAAAAGTAAACGAGTTTTATTAACAGACTGGAAGCTTATGAACAAACCCTAAAGGGAGAAGAAACTGAAATTTAAAAAAAAAAAAAAAAAAAAAAAAAAAAAAAAAAAGCAATGGAAATTATAGTTTTATTTCCCGCCATTTTCCATTCCACTAATCAAAACGCTTCTAATCGCCTCGTCCACTCTTCTTCCCTTTCCCTTTCGCTTTCCCTCTCCCTCTCCCTCCTTCCTTCCTCTCTCCTCCTCCTCTTCTCCTCCTCCTTGTGCGGCGGCGCAATCTCCGCTGACGGCAGAATCACCACCTCGTACTGCGCGCTCAGCAACCGGTCGAGGTCGTCCTCTGTTATGTCGAATGCTGTTGCCACTGCCGGGCTTCTTAGAGTGTGGAAAATCGAATTCGCACCGGCCAAGAACTGCGGTCGATTCCTGCGCGATGACGTGGTGAATCCGAAGAACTCGAATGGACCTGTTCTCGATGCGATTTGGCAGAATGGGAAGTATCTTGGAACCCAGAAGACGTCCCCTTCGGTTACTTCTGTGTCCATGGCGGAGGTTCCGTTTGGATATACGATCTGTATTGTGCCTGTGCCTCTGAGGACGATGCCGTACTCTGCCGCGGTTGGATTTATGTGTGGCGCCATCATGGATCCCTGTAATAGAGGTCATTCGTATTGAATCGAACATCGAGGGAGGTACGTAAAACTAATTGAGAGGACAATTAGGGATTCGGTGGATTAGATTTACCGCTGTGAGATTGACGAGATACACTCCAATTCCGGAGTGACCTAGAGGAGAATACTCGTGCTCGTCTAGGGCAACGCTCCATCCGTAGGCGTTGCTGAAGTCTGGGGTTTTGTCGTAGAGGTTGTACGAATCGGGGGATTTTCCTGTTCTTGTTCTTTTTGTTTTGTCCCGATTTTCGTTTCCAAAGATCAAACTCACGAGATTCCTCCATGACCATGGCTTATTCTTCTCTGCTTCTTTGCCATCTTCATTGATGTTAGCTATTTTATTTCCTTTGTCTCCATCTTTCACCTGCAGAAACTTACTCCAAACCCCCGGCGATTCAGTATCCGAGACGTAAACGATTGGACCCTGTCGTTGCCTAGATAGAATCCTCCTTAATTCTGTATAAGAAACCTGTGGAGTAAATTGATGTGTGAAAATCCATTGTTAACGGCAAGCAGAGTGCTGTGAGTATAATGTTTCAAATTTAGAGAAGCAGATCAGGGATTTTAGTCGAATTTCTTACATTAAATGCTGTAGCCAATGTATCCTGGTCGAAACCTGCTAGAACTGATACCGGATAGGTTCCTCCGCCGATGAAGAAGGACTGCAATTGTAAGAAAAAAACAATCAAAATTTCATTACTAATTCCGGATTCCGATCACATTCCAACCCCCATTATCACCAAGCTGAGAAATTACCTGGAAAGTACCATAACTCAAGCTCTCAGATTTGTCAATGCTGCAGATAATTTGAAGTCTCTGTCCTTCCCCTACGTTCACCATGTAAAATACTGAACCGGCTGGGATCCGGTACACATCTCCGCCCTTCATCCTCCTCTCTGCTAACTCGTCTTTGTAAATCAATCCCACTTTCACTTCCCCTGCAACCATTTACATTTCCCTTTCCCTTCAATTGGCTGAAAATTTCCCATTTCATTCACTCTAGCTTACAAAACTAAATGCATGTTAAGATTGTGAAAAAGATTTCATGGGTCCTGTATTTGAATCCCTTTTCTTGAAAAGATTATTCAGTGAGGGACCCAAAAGCTGGAATTTGAGGGAGTGATATCTCAAATTTATATCTGAGCCCATACAGATTTTGGAATGCAGGGCCAATTGTGAGATCCCACATGATTGGGGAGGAAGAATGGGGAGGAGAATGAAGCTTTCTTTATAAAGATGTAAAATCATCTCCCTATCAATCAAGTTTAAGAGGAAGCACAAAAAAAAAAAAAAAAAAAAAAAAAATCCAAAAAGGACAATATTGGCGGTGGGCTTGGACAGTTACAAATGATATAAGAGCACGATCTCCGACAATATGCCAACAAGGAGGTTGAGCCCTTAAGGGAGTGGACACGAAGAGGGTGTGCCACCCAACCTCGGGCAATATGCCAACAAGGAGGCTGAGCCCTTAACGGAGTGGACATGAAGATGGTGTGCCACCAAAAATGCTGATCCCCAAAGGGATGGATTGGGGACCTCACATCGATGGGAGAAGGGAACAAAGTGCCAGCCCACATCCATGAGAGAGGAGAATCGGAGCATTCTTTATCATGGTTGGAAACCTCTCCCAGGCAGGATACGTTTAAAAACTCAAGGAGGACGATATCTGCACTTGCATGGCCTTATTGAATATTGAAAATCACTTTTATTGGTTCATTGTGGTAGAGTGCTTTTCTAGTTCCTTAATGGTGACTTATGGATGCATGTAAGCAAGAAGAAGGAGTTGAGAAAGAAGACTGCAATTACCTCTGCGGACAAAGAGAATCAAGCTGGAGTCCAAATACTGAGGGACGAACAGGGACTTAGGTTCCATGGTGATGAAGCCGATATGCATGGGCCTGTCAAGAATCCTTGAAGCTGGACTTCTAATCACCCTCATTTCCCCTGCTTCTGTCTCTATAACCCGCTTCGAATCCTCTAGCAGAAACCGTTCTTTACTTCTAAACTCTCTCTCTTCCTCTCTCTCTCTCCACCATTCTTCTTCTTCTGCTGCTTCTGCTTCCTCCTTAATCCCAATCGCATTTCCCAGAACAGCAATAATCAACAGCATCACAAGGGCTTCTTTCTTCCACATCTTTGCTCTCTGTTTCATCCGAATGTGTTTCTGGGTTATTTTCTGGTTGTGGTAATGAGTGGCGTTGGTGAGGCTTTATGAAGATGAAGCTCAGAAGATTGAGGAAGACGCGTGTCGATCATGCAAGTTTCTGAGTTTTGGTGGCGGGTTTTAATTTCGACACAGTTGAGATGTTTTAGGGACATTCAGACCAGGATAGAGTCGCTCACTTGGATAGCTAAAAACACCACTTGCCATTTGTTTCATTTATGTGTTCGTTCTTTTGTTGCTATTCACTAATTTTGTCACAGGCTGGACTTCGGCTAAAATTGGAGCCAGGTGATTTAGGTTTTTGGTTCACTCGACCCGAGCGAGGTATTCGATTAGGAATTTTAGGTCTTTGAATTTCAGGATTTATTTAAAATATTCAATAACTTAATGGTTAATTTATTATTTGTTAGTTACTCTGTTGTTAAATTGACTCAATTTCCTCTTCGTATATGGTTACTTGATGAGTTTAATTGAATTTTGTGGATCTCTTTTCTAAGTTATTTAAAAAAAACATATTTATTAGTCATTAGTTAAATCATTAAAATTTAAAATATCAAACAAACTATAATGCATGTCTAATAGAAATGTAAAATATTTTTCATCTTTAAAGTAGGATAAGGATGAATTGTAACTTTATTTTTAGTTGATTGGGTTGACTCGACCCTAAAAAATGTCAAGAATGACCCAAATTTTTTTAACTAAAAATTCAACCCAACCTAATATATAAATATTTAATTTAACTTCATTTTTACTTAATTTCAATAAATTGTTATTATTATTTTCATTTTAAAGTTTTAAGTTGGTGTTAGCTATTGATTTAAATCATTTTAGTTTTTTTCTTAACAAAAAAAAAAAATCATTTTTAGTATTTTTAATGGAAACTAAATCGAAGTATATTGAGTGTTAAAAAAAATATTCCTTCAGTCAGGTGGTTATAATATTTTTCAATGTCTTACTGTAATTATAATGATAAATAAAATATATTTTAGTTGAAATATTAAATATTGAAAAAATATTTATAAAAATAAATTTCAATGAAAATCTTGCACTGCAATTATTTTTAGTTTTATTTAATGTTATTTATTAAAATTAATAGCGCGAAGGAAATTTGTGTTCTTCAATAATATCTTCCGCCTTTTGTCTTTCTGCCTTTTCGAAGAAGCTTTTAAATCCTTAAAACTCCAACAACATGGCGATTGCAACGGTAACCTGTCCACGATCCCCCAACTCATTTCCACTGGATCGACCAAAAATGGCGGATTCAAGTTCCGGGTTACCGCCATATAACGATGACGACAATACCCACAAAGGCGTCCCAAATATTCCGGTTGAGATCGTGAGCGACGAGGAAATGGCCCTAATCGAAGCTGCCTTAGCCGCCGCCGTCACCACTGCTCGATCTTCAAGCTCCGCCATTCATCCACCTTCTTGTTCGTCTCAGAATCTCTTTAACACCAGGTCTATTCACTCTATTACTCTTCTATCCAAAAGGGGCCTCCCTTCTTCCCAGCTAGATGTTGAGGATCTCTGCAAATCTTCGAGTACCCAGAAGAAGATCAAAGTCAATGAATCGCTTCTGCAACGTTTTAGAAGGAATAAGGGGTTGGCCGTCACTGATATTACTCGCACGGTATGAATTTCTTGTTTCGATTTGCTTTGGGTTTGTGTGTGGCTGTTAGATGTTGATTTGATTCGATCGGATTGAACTTGAAGAACTAAATTTGTTTGTTTATGTAATTTTTTCCTGATATGGTATATGCAGGAATGGTGTGAAAAACAGATGGAGTTATGTCTTCTTTCTGGAGTTAGGAAGAAAACCAAAGCTATGGAAGCAGGTATTGCACGCCACGCCATGCTTGAAGCAGAGGTAAACTTCTAGTCTTCAGATTGCACATTTCATTTGTGGATGTTCTTTAGTATACCTGTTTCTTACTTCGGGTAAGAATATAGAAACTTTTTCCTAGTAGACGCGATCGTGGGGCTGACGGTGATTTGTAACGGGCCAAAGCAGATGATATCTTCGACTTGGGTTGTTACAAATGGTATTAGAGCCAAGCATTGTGTGGTGTGCCAGAGAGAATGTTGGCTCCCAAGGGGGTGGATTGTGAGATCTCATATTGGTTGGAGAGGGGAACGAAACATTCCTTATAAGGGTGTGGAAACATCTCCCTAGTAGGCGCGTTTTAAAATCGTGAGGCTGACAATGATATGTAACGAGTCAAAGCGGACGATATATGCTAGTGTGGGCTTTGGTTGTTACAAATAGTATTAGAGTCAAGCACTGAGCGGTGTGCTAGTGAGGATGTTGGCTCCCAAGGGGGGTGGATTGTGAGATCTCACATCGTTTGGAGAGGGGAACAAAGTATTCCTTATAAGGGTGTAGAAACCTCTCCCTAGTCGATGCGTTTTATAACTGTGAGGCTGATGACGATACGTAACGGGCCAAAGTGGACGATATCTGCTAGCGATGGGCTTGGGTTGTTACAAATGGTATCAGAGCCAAGCACTGAGCGGTGTGCCAGTGAGGACGTTGGCCTCCAAGGGGTGAATTGTGAGATCTCACATTGGTTGGAGAGGAAAACGAAGCATTTCTTATAAGGGTGTGGAAGCCTCTCCCTACTCGACACGTTTTAAAACCATGAGGTTGACGGCGATACGTAATGAGCCAAAGTGACAATATTTGCTAGTGATAGGCTTGAGTTGTTACAAATGGTATTAGTGTCAAGCACTAAGCGGTGTGCCAGTAAGGACGCTGGCTCTCAAGGGGGGTGGATTGTGAGATCTCACATCGGTTGGAGAGGGGAACAAAGCATTCCTTATAAGGGTGTGGAAACCTCTCCCTAGTCGACGTGTTTTAAAATCGTGAGGCTGATGGCAATATGTAACGGTCCAAAGTGGACAATATCTGTTAGCGGTGGGCTTGGGCTGTTACACTTAGCCCCCCTCCCCCCGAAAATGGCTTTTGCAACCACGTGATGCTTGAACCATTTATCACATATTTGACCATGCTAGGACTGAGTTTTCTGTGTTAGTTCCACTATGGATAGCTGCCTAAAAGCCTATAGCATTTAGTGTCAAGTACCAGTTTTAACCGTATTGTACTTGAATCCGTGTAGGTTGTAAAAAAAGTCAAAGTTCAGGTGAAATCAGCCGAAGATAATTGGGCTTTGAAGCTTCTTAATTTTACATTTGGTGTAAACCAACTACTGTTTGAAGGATTGACTCGGGAACTGCCTGTGTAAGTCTCACGTTTTTGTGTCCGGTTGCCCAATCAATATTGTTTGTCCATCAGCAGACATTATAGTTACACCCATAAACTGTTATGCCTGTGGTCGGACATATTTGTACACTTCAGGGACTTTAAGGTTGAAAATCTGGCAGCTCTACTGCCTCATGAAAAGGAGAATTGTGAGATTCTACGTCGGCTGGGAGGAAAACAGAACATTCTTTATAAAGGTGTGGAAACCTCTCCCTAACAAACGCGTTTTAAAAATCTTGAAGGGAACCCGAATGGGAAGGCTCAAAGAGGACAATATCTGCTAGCGGTGGGCTTGGGCTATTACAAATGGTATCAAAGCCAGACACCGAGCGGTGTGCCAACAAGGAGGCTGAGCCTAGAGGGGGTGAACATGAGGTGGTGTACCAACAAGGACGCTGGGTCTCGAATGGGGGTGGATTGGAGGTCTCACATTAGTTGGAGAAGGGAACGAGTGCCAACGAGGACGTTGGGTCCCGAAAGGTGGTGGACTATGAGATCCCACATCAGCTGGGGAGGAGAACGAAGCATTCTTTATAAGGGTGTGGAAACCTTTCCCTAGTATACGCGTTTTAAAAACCTTGAGAGCCTGAAAGGGAAAGCCCAAAGGGAACCATATATGCTAGCGGTGGGCTTGGGCGGTTACACCAACTTTACATTTTGTGGATAACAAACGAAGAAACCGAGTAGGATTATTTCTCTCTCGAGCTTCCATTACTCTCGATCTCACTAAAGTTATGTTTGCATTGGGTCAGAATGGGGTTAGTAGAAGGTGTATGGATGGTTGGTGTGATTGATGAGATCCAAATGTTGGAGATTGGTACCTGCAAAGTTCCAATGTTGATAGACACAAAAACTCGTATGCGACACACAATTCCTGCTGAACCACAACAAAGAAATGGAAAGTACGCAATTACTTACTGTTGTTTCGTTCATCTCTTGCTTGGAAACTATACTGACTTTAACTCTCTATGTTCTTCTTCCAGGCTTCAATTAATGTGTTATAAGTTCTTATTGGACTGTCTGATTTGTGATGGCTTCTCTACCAGACAGTTTTTTGATTTCTTTTCTTTGAATCCTCATTCCATCTTGTCTGAGGAAATTGCCGACAGTTCTGCTTCGTTTGGTTTCACTGCAAAGGTAGAGCTTTTAACTTCTTTTTTCTTTCGTAATAATCATGATGATGATGAAAAAATGATACCAACGGTGAGATTTGACGTCGGTTGGAGAGGGGAACGAGCATTTCTTGTAAGGGTGTGGGAACCTCTCCCTAGTAGATGCGTTTTAGAAACTGTGAGGCTAATGGTGATATGTAATGGGTCAAAACAGATAATATTTGCTAGGGGTGGGTTTGGGTTGTTACAAATGGTATTTGAGCTAGACATCAGGCGGTGTGTTAGCGAGGATGTTGGGCTCATAAGGGGGTGGATTGTGAGATCCCACATCGGTTGGAGAAGAGAATGAAACATTTCTTATAAGGGTGTGGGAACCTCTCTCTAGTAGACACGTTTTAAAAACTGAGGTTGACGGTGATACATAATGGGCCAATGCGGATAATATCTGCTAACGGTGGACTTGGGCTGTTACAAACAGTACAAGAGCCAGACACTAGGCGATGTGCCAACGAAGATGTTGGGCTCCTAAGGGGGGTGGATTGTGCGATTCCATATCGGTTGGTGAGGAGAACGAAGCATTCCTTATGAGGGTGTGAAATTCTCTCTCTAGTAGACGTGTTTTAAAAACTGTGAGGCTGATGGTGATACTTAACATGCCAAAAGTGACAATATATGCTAGCGGTGAGTTTGGGTTGTTACAGATGGTATCAGAGCCATACATTAGGTGGTGTGCCAGCAAGGATGTTGGGCTCCTAAGAATAGTGGATTGTGAGATCCCGGATCGGTTGGAGAGGGAAACGAAGCATTTCTTATAAGGGTCTAGAGACCTCTCCTTAGTAGATGCGTTTTAAAAACTGTGAGGCTACCGACTATATGTAACGAACCGAAGCGGACAATATTTGTGAATGGTGGGCTTGAGCTGTTACAAATACTATCAAAGCTAGACACTAGGCGGTGTGCTAGCGAAGACATTGGCCCCCCTAAGGGGGGTGGATTGTGAGATCCCACATCGGTTGGAAAGGGGAGCAAAGCATTTCTTATAAGGGTATGAAAACTTCTCCCTATTAGACATGTTTTAAAAACCGTGAGGCTGACGGCGATACGTAATGGGTCAAAGTGGACAATATTTGTTAGCGGTGGGCTTGAGCTAATACATCAACTTTACATTTTACGTAAAGTTCTTTAAACATTTTACGCAACGTAACAATTGCGAGTTTACCTAGTGATCTTGTTTGTACAGACTCTTGATGATGTAGTGAGATACTACATAAACTGTTGTAGCATGCTGCCTCCTACTCACAATCAACTCTTACTAAGGTACATAACATTTCCATAATAAAGGATATCATTTCTTTCAATGGTTGTGCTTCATTACATGTTCAACTTTGAACCCTGTTTTCTATACTTCGCCACGAGTTCTTTCTCGCTCGAACGATGCCTGTCGCGTTTCATTATAATAACGGTTTCAGCATCTGAGTTCTGATATCATATGGTTGATTGTCATGGTGCAGATATGAATCACAGAAGGACCAATCTATTATTCGTGAAGATGAATTTGCATATGATCATGGTTGGCTCAAGAGTCAACTCGAGACCTCACTCCAGGTCTGGCATGGACAACGAGAACCCGAATGTACTCCTCCCGAAGAACGATGGAAATGTCGACATTGTCAATATGCTTCCGATTGCCCTGCAAATGCTAGCCTCGACCCTACTCGAAAACCCGAGTAATTCATCTAAAAATGCCAACCAAGACTATCTTATACAAGGTTATGGTTCATACTCCCACTATTCCCGTTCGAAGCTACAATTTAATAGCTAGTGATTTATTTTACTACATATATATCGTATTATTTCAAAAGTTACAATATTATCATTATTTTCTTGTAACGACAATTATAAAAGAAACCATTAAGAAATTTATATAAAAATTACGTTCTGATCAAATATTATTTTAGAAAATTTTATAAAAGGCCATATTTATTGAAAAATTAAAAAGTATTTTTGAAATTAAATTTTATATATATTTTTGTATTTTCGCTTAAAAAATACAATTTTTTTAAATCTATATTAGAACAAAATAGCTGGGGCAGATGTCTTCTTGGTAATAAATGGGCCGAGAGCAGCCCAATCGCCATCTTCGCTATGGGCTACAAGCCCAAATTAATGAATGAAATATTTTTTAAATGTGAAACATATTATGGAGACGTGGCACTTTTTAATTGGATGAGAGAATTCGGAGGATCAAACCAAAGGAATAGGAAGAAGAACCCTAAAAAACTGAAAAGCAAGCGCACTGTAAACAGAAAATTACAGTAAAAAGTGGAGGCGGGAAAATTTCCGATGGCGCGAGATCGGAAGAGGCAGAGACCGAACATATTGATCACCGGAACTCCTGGAACCGGCAAGACAACAACGTCATCTGCTTTAGCAGACGCCGCTCAGCTTCGTCATGTTTCCGTTGGGGACCTTGTGAAGGAGAAGAGTTTGCACGATGGCTGGGATGACGAACTCCAGTGCTATGTAATCAACGAAGATCTGGTTAGGTTTTTTTCTTCTTTAATCCTTGCATGAACTGCTGATTTCATCGTCTTGTAAGCTATTGCGAATTGAGAGTGGTTTTAGACTTAATTCTTTTTTTCTAATGGTCTTTCCGTTGTACATAAGACGATGCTAACCTGCAGGTGCATTGCAATTGTCAGGTCTGCGACGAGTTGGAGGATTTGATGGACGAAGGTGGAATCATTGTGGATTATCACGGTTGTGGTTTTTTTCCTGAGCGGTGGTTTGATCGCGTGGTTGTTCTTCAGACCGAGAACTCTATCTTGTATGATCGCTTGACGAAGAGGTAACGAAATTAAAGACTTCCTGTTTGTGATTATTCCGTTTGTGTATTTTGTTCCGCCATTTTGGCTCTCTTCTCAAACGCTTGTGGAATTCTGTTTGTGGTGCAGGGGATACGATGGAGCTAAGCTTTCAAACAATATTGAATGCGAAATCTTTCAGATATTGCTTGAGGAAGCAAAGGAAAACTATCAGGAGAACATAGTGGTAGCTCTAAGAAGTGACACTGTTGAAGATGTAGCTAGAAACGTTGAAACTCTGTCGAACTGGGTTAAGAATTGGCAACCTGTAAGCTAAGCAGATAAGAAAAGAAAGAAGAGATTACTTACGCTCCCGTTTTCTTGATTTCGATTTTATGTAAAGTAAAAGAAAGCCGCCTTTGCTACTTGATCGAATTGGGTTTCTAGCCAGATTTATATAAGTTATGCATCTTCCCAATTCCCCATTATTTGGAGTATTTGTAAGCTGCCCTTTTCCTTCAGGTTTTCCAAAGTTTTATCAATGAATGGATAAACGAAGAATTTTGCTAGGTGGAAGATCTAGCATGTCCATTGAAGATCGCTCAAGTCACTTGGGAACCGGAAAATTGTCAAGCACTCAGCAAGCAAATATGGGCCTTTGAGAAGGGTAATAAGTCATACACTCTTGTAGATCTTTGTATGAATGGGCTTTTGTCTGATTTGCATGGATAAAGACATTCGTGTGTGCATTATGCTTGAAACGTGTTTGTAGAAGATCAGGTCGCTGTTTATTGGTGTAATTGAGTTGTACGCTAGTTAATGTCTCATCTTGGATGTGGCGGCATGTGTTTTAGTTGAATGATTGCTAAGTAAAAAATCGAACCATCGTTCATTCAGATATTGTTTGACTGCATGTTCTTCGTGCACTTTCTTCATTTACCTGCCATTTATCAGTTATTATTATCAAAATAGATGGTTGGTTTATTATACCTTTCTTTGGTCGATATTTAAAATTTGAGTTTCTGTTTAATTTGTATATATCCTTCATTATTGGTTTCGAATAAGTTTAGGAGAGATTATCATGAAACTAGTAGCATTATCGATTAGGAAAAATTGTTAGTGATCTAACTTAGATCGAATGATCATCACAGCTTTAATAAGCTATGGAATTTCAAATCACAACCACCCCTGGCCATCATGATTCATTTGACACATTTTACTTTCTTTCTTACTTCTCAGTTCTTTTTTTTCCTCTTGGTGTGACATTCTATACAAGGTTTTTTTCTACAACTTGTCGGTAGTCTGACGCCACCTCCATTCATAGGTTTGATATCGTAGCATTGCCTTCTCTAGTCGATTCTCAGGTTAAGTGGCTAGTTGGTTTTCGAGTTGAGTCTCGACTCTCGTCTTTAGTACTTGGTAGTCAATTGTCTCGATATTGTCTTCAGCACTCAGTTGAATCTCATCTCACAGAGTCCGTTGTCTTCAACATTCGGTTGAGTTCGTGGTCTTCAGCACTCGATAGTTGGTTCTCTGAGCATAGGTGGAAATAAAATATTATTTAGAACAACCCGAACCCAACCCAACGTGTTAGTTATGAAACAATTTCGGGTTGGGTTGGGTTGAGTTATCAATCCAACTAACCCAAACTTTTGGATTGGTCTAAAAACAATTATTTTCAAACCGGTTCAACCTAAGCCATGTACATTCCTAGAGGGAAAAACATTTTCAAAAACATAAATCATTATTTATGAGCTAGTAATTAAATACATTGTAACGGTGGTATAAATTTAATTATATGAGTTTTTTTAATGGGTAAAAATTGGGAGTGAAATCTATATGAGTTTTATTACGGATAAATTCCTAAATTATGTAGAGACTAAAATTTTAACTGCATAACTATAATTGAAGTTTACCACAAAAGTGGAATTTTTTTATGTATATGTGTGTATATATATTATATAAACCTCGAAAAGGATAAGATTGATTCAGCTGAGTACAATAAGTGCTCATTTGAAGGAAGTCTGCGAGGAAACGACACATCTTCGGTTATCTTACTGAGAGTATAACAGCTCAGCTTCCCTCCATCTTTCAGTGGACCCATTTATTCAATACAACTAAAGGGCAACAGAATTTCTCATAATCGTTGTAATTACAGGTAATCTGCTTTCTCTTACTTTCCAAATTTGTTCAGTTCTCCCTTTGTTTTTTGAATCCTCGCTTTGCCCACAAGGTGTTTGATGAAATGCCAAACCCAAGTTTTAGTGACTTCGTTGAGCATCCTGGTAGTACAAACAAACACTTCTGAACATTCTTTTCTCTAGTGCTTTTAATGGCTGCCCTTTGTTCTCTTGTTACAGGCTTGTTTGTGGGAGACATTTGACTGATACTTATAGACCCTTTACAAGTATGCTAAGTAGGGGAGGTTTAATCTCATCCTATATTTCTTCTTCTTTGAAATGCTTCTCTTCTTCAACTTCTAATGTGCTCAAAGTTGGAGATATCTTGAGCCATACCAGAATCTTCACCAGTGAAGATGTTTTGGAATACTCCAAAGTGAGTCATGACTCAAATCCTCTGCACTTTGATTCTGCATTAGCCCGACGTGCTGGATTCGACGATCGTCTTGTTCATGGGATGCTTGTTGCATCAATGTTCCCTCGTGTCATTTCCTCTCATTTTGTAAGTCTAGATAGTCTGCATTGCTTACACACAACTTTATGGGGACTGAAAAATGGCACTCACGCTTGTTTGAGATCTTTTAATGTATGTGGATGATTGTAGCCAGGAGCCATCTATGTGTCACAAAGCTTGAATTTTAAGTTACCAGTCTACGTCGGAGAGACGATCATTGTTCGGGTTGAAGCAATTGACTTGAGAGAAATTAAGAAGAGATACCTGTAAGCTTGTTCTTGGCAAATCTCTACCTTCTCATTCGAATTTCAAGTTGTCATTTCATTGAGTTGGTGCTTGCTGAATGTGTTTCAGGGCGAAATTCCAAACGAAATGCTTGAGGAATGGCGACGAGCTTGTTCTGGATGGTGAGGCAAGGGCCATATTACCTTCTGATTTTTGTTCCACAGATGGTTAGACGATGATCGTCTAAGTCTCGACCGCTAGATGTGGTTGAAGGAGCAAAGTTTTCCATATGAATTCATTCAATTTCTTCTTTGCTCTCTGTGGATAAAGATTGTCAAGTCTGGGAATAGGTCTGACCTCTATTTGCTTTTACTTCATCTCTTATTGATAGGTTATGAACAATATCTGGACCTGTTTCTTTCAATAAATTTGCCATGAGCCCTATGATCTTGGAACTGTTCTATCAATAGAGACTAACAAAATGAACAAATTTTCTGTCATAATGAATTGAATTTTTATTGAATTATCTTGTGTTCAATGAGACATCCAAGCAGTGTGAAAGTGTAAACGAAGTTTAAGAATCAGAAGATTCTGATTCGGTAATATTTCTATTGCAAGGAACAAGTTGCCCCTTAGACAGCATCTTCACTAGACCCCTAACTACACTTAAACCTCATAATTTTCCAAAAAATGAAAAAGAAATAGAGAACTTTCTTTCTCCTGCGTACCTGGTAGAGCAGCAACGGAGCAGTTGTGTGGTATATACATCATCTGTAGTGAATTACAACATAGCTATCTCTTAGTCTGTGGCAGAATCACCGACGGTTTGAACGTCGAGATCTTCTGTGTCGCAATCGGAGGAAGTCTGATCTACAGAACAGTTGTTCAGTTGGCCTTGTGGGGTTCCAAAGAGGGTAGTGAATATCTGTCTGTGGCATTCGTCACAGAAGTAGATGTAGGTAAAATGGCCTTCATATGGGAGCTTATGGACTGCAGCTCCTGGTAGGATCCGATGAACGTAATCGGTCATTGATGGTGGAACCACCATATCATCCATCCCCTGTTTGAATGAACATATGAGATCAAAAGGGAGAGGCAAACCAAACTACAATTCTTAGCTCCAATTAGGATTTGAAAAACAATTGGTCAGATGTCATTCATCAGCCAGTTCAAGTGATCAGTAGCTACTTTAATAATATGGTAATGGGCATCGGCACCATTAAGATGAGTAGACGAGATGGAATTAGAAAACTGCTCCTGTTTCTAATAGAGTTTGTTATTTTTCGTCTTTTCTCCTTAGTTTGCGAGAGATTACCTTTTGATTTACCAGAAGCAGAAAAAGAATTAGTAACGGGTTATCAAACCGAATATTCGGGTATCAAATTTGGTTGATTTTATCTTTCTTCCTATTTAAATCTATTAATTTCTTCGTTATTTGTAATCAATACTGTCATGGTGCCATTGGTTGATTTTATCTGGCTCCCTATCTAAATCTATTGGTTTCTTTTAAATTTGTAATCAAACCTGATGAACATCGGTAATCAAAATCTAACCTGCCATATATGAATTGGACCAAGGAAGCCAGTAAAGTCGTCTTGGGCATCACCTAGCAAAGACTTCAGCCAATGAATCACAGATTTTACTACACGTTTCTGTAATCTGAGATCGTGAAGCCTGAAACCCCAATCTGATACCAGTAGTGTAGCTTCCTCCACAAACGGTTTTGTATTACCTTGCCTGATTGATTCTTCTACGTCCCTTTGCCAGAACTCTTCGTGGATAGGATCCTCTACTAGAGCTCTATCCTGAAAAAAAGTGATGATTAGATTCTCCGTCGGTAAAGTTTCTGTACAATCTCAAGAAAATAGTGTTAGGAACCACGGATCTCCACAATGGTATGATATTATCGCTTTGAGCATAAACTCTCATGGTTTGGATTTGGGCTTCCCCAAAAGACCTCATACCAATGGAGATGTATTCCTTACTTATAAACCCAGATCGTTTCCTAAATTAACCAATGTAGAACTCCCTCCCAACAATTCTCGTCAAAGAATACCCGTTCACAAAATCTAAATGGCTTGGACCAAGCACTATGATGTTTTGCGCAAAGACTTGACATTAGATGTCGAGGACTAAAACATTACACATGAAAACATAACAAAACATGGAATTGGACATCGGCATATAATTGGCGTTCAATCAAGACTTGAGAAACATGAACACGTTCTTAGCATATCAATATCATAGATGTTTAATCATCAATAATGGGTAAGAGCATTTTTCAATAGAAGGAACGCGATTATGAACCAACTGTGATTGTAGATGGTGATGTCTCACCCTTTTTCCTAGTGATAATGCCAACCACTTATCAATCTGATCATGCTTCCCAGACAGGAAGCTATTACGGTAGAACAGAGGAAGAACAGCAGGAAATCTTCGAGCTAAGAAGTACATAAATTTCCGCTTTCTACTCCATTTCTTCCATGTTGCACGTCTTTCCTCCTTGGTCATACTTGGATCATAGGGATTAACCATTGGAGCAAACATAGCAGCACCTGCAGCACGATGTCAATTAAATTAGAGATTCTATAACCAACATATCGTCATTGCAACTCTGAAAATGTATTCAATTCAAAAATGGTTTACAGAATTTAATCTAGGTTCATACAAGTCGTTGCTTGTTTCATTAATTTTACATTCTGCATTGAATTTTGAGTTTGAGCATTCAACTGAAGAAAAATGTCATTGCCTTGTTCATACCTGCAAGTTTATCAGGAATATACCTCAGAGCTGCCCAAGCATGCATGCTCCCTGTGGAATACCCTATTACCCAAAATCTGTCGCTGACACCTACAGCATTTGCTAAAAATGACATGTCCATTGCTGATGATTCAAGGTTTCTTTGAGGATGAGGATCGCTCTCTCCAAAGCCCGGGAGATCATATGTCAACAAGCGAATGCCAAACTCTTCCAACAGTGAAGTTTTAAGCCCAGGCATTTCTTAGGATAAGAACAGTATGAAAATAAGTTCAAATTAACAAACAGAAAAGATTGCACAAAGGTATACAGGAATAATTTAGCATAAATTTTCTCGAAATTTCAAGCTCCTAAGCAACCTGCAAGCCGAGAAGAGAGGAAGGAATGAGGACCGATTATTGAAAATCTAGCTCTGTCCGCAGAAACACCTTGCTCCTTGTATGCCAAGAATCTACCGTCGGGGAGCATTACTCGCCTGGCGCTCGGTGGATGTATGTAGACCTTTTTAATTGGTGAGATGGGAATATCATCACGTTGGACACTTAGAGTTAAAACTGCAGAAAAACAAACCAGTAATTGAAGAGACTTTTCAGAGGAAATTCTTCAGCAAACAAGAAAGAAACCATTAAAAACGCGATTGAGATGAAATTCTAAAGTCAGCTCGAAGCGCGAAAACTCAGTAAAATTCGAAAAACACGAAGTTCAAAATTTCAGAGATACAGCACTAGCGAGTCCAGAATTTCACCTGCCAGAACAACAACCGAAACGCACAGTATGACCATCCAGGCATGAAATGGATCCTTATCCTCGGGCAAGTAGTCATTGATGAACCGCAATTTACCACAAACCTTCTCACAAGGCCCTCTCACTTTCTTCTCAATGTATGATCCCTTCCCAAACGTCTTCACAACATACGATTCATTATCTCCAAAACTCTGCAATACTATATCCCTACATCCCTTCCCGAACTCCATAGCCATCTCCCCAGCCGCCTTGAGGAACTCCATAGCTTGATCTCCAAAATTCTCCGGTTCACCGCCACTACCTCCCTCTCCATGGCGAGCAGCATAAGACGGCGGCACCGCGGAACTCATACCGTCCACAGATCCAAATCACGGCACAGTACGACCGTGTCGCCGGACGACGTGGAAAAAAGAATCAAAAGCTGGCATAAAATTCAGTGTCGTGGCAGTGAAATGAAAATCAAATAAAGAAACATAAACCGAAACAGAAACGAAGTGAGAGCGAAAAGGCTTGAATGAGACGCAAAGTAAAAAGGAGACGGAAGAATCTAGGGTTCGTAGCCGAAATGTTGACGAAGAAAGGGAAGTGAAAAGGCAATGGTGGTGGAGGTGCTGGTGTTGGTGCTGGTGTTGGTGCTGGTGCTGGTGAGTGGGGACGACGACGAAGACGAATTCAATTATTTATTTATTTATTTGTTATTTATTATTTATTATTTATTATTTATTATTACTTTATTTAAAAATAAGAGTGAGAGTGGTTTTGGGATTTTAATATATGACGGCTCTACCCCTGCCCGGCCCCTTCCCCAATCTCAACCGTTTCGGTGGCCATTATTATTTATTTATTATTTTCCTCTTTTCTCATTATCCATCATCGTCCGACGTGTTATTTCTTCCTTTTTTTCTTTTTACCTTTATTTTATAATAAAAATTGACACATTTTAATTAATAATATATATATATATATATATATATATTATAAAAGAAGGTTATATACCACACACACATATATATATATATATTTCTTTATATATAAAGTTAAATTTTTACCACGAAATTTGAATATTATATTTTAGGAAAATGGAGATGGGGTATCAAATTTAACCGTTTTTTTTTTTTTAATACAAAATTTATGAACCGTAAAGTAAACGCTAGTGTGACAGTGTCTGTCGTGCATTTCAATTTTCAGCCAACCATTTTAAATGAAATTAAATAAGGAGTAATTGAGAAATAAATTTTAATATATATAATATAAATAAAAGATTAGGATGAGTCATTGAATGATTAAACTGGAGATTAATATGACAGCCAATCGACTTCTGCGCTGGAACTTGGAAGGAACTATATATATATATATATACAATAGTGAAAATATATATTTTATCATTATCATTAAGATTAAAAGATTAAAAAAAGATTAAAAAAACTACGTGCGACTAATAATGAGTTGTTACAATGAACTTTGACTTTTCAAACATTATAATATAAATCATTAAAAAGATTTTGATATCATTTGATTATAATATGAATATATTTAACGTAGAAAAATAATAGTGTACTCAATTTTAAACTAGTCCAGCTGATTGCAAAAATGAACTGAATAACGTTTACAAACTAACCCAGCCCAATTCAACCATGAACTAACTCAACCCAATCCAACCATTTATTTTTAGGTGGAGTTGGGTCGGATTGTAAGTTGTTTTTAATTATTTTGAAAACTCATACTTATCAACCATACATATTAAATAACTAACCAAATTCGATGTCGCAAGTCGCTAGGGGAGACGATCTTCGGCTGTTGAACTAGAAAGAGCAAACTTCATTGACTAAAACCTGCTACAAAAGGGGAGATCCAAAAGGAGAAGTTCAAACACAAAAGTTACTTCTGAACATTTGAATCATTTCTAAGTTCAAATAGGATAAAACTATGAACAGGCAATTTACACGCAAAACATCAAATCCCAAGATGGATTATTTGAGTGATATTGAGAGTGAACTAGAAGGAAGATGGTTTTGTTCTTTATCAGATATAGTAAAACTCGTCATCTGAATCATAAAGCTCTTCTTCTTCATCTTCTTCGTCGTAGAATTGACCGTCATGATCGAATTCTCTATTATCATCGTTGTACAAAATATGATTTTCAGCCCAAAGCGGACAAGAACATGTCGCCTTTTTATCTTTCCATTCTCCTCCACATTTATAGCAAAATTCATGACCACATCTGCAACAAAAAGATGAGAAGTTTATTTGAGGTAGAGTCAAAGCTAGATGCAAAGGATAAATAGTGCATACTACATTTGGTTTAGAAAACTTGCAGGTACAAAGTTTAAATTACTCACAAATAGGATATTCTAGACATTTATGGTGTACAGGCAGAAAGCAAATATGATATTCCGACCCAGACACTAGGCGGTGTGCCAGCAAAGACGTTGGGCTCCTAAGGGGGTGGATTGTGAAATCCCACATTGGTTGGAGAGGAGAATGAGACATTTCTTACATGTGTTTGGAAACCTCTCCCAAGCAGACACGTTTTAAAAACTTTGAGGGGAAGCTCGAAAGGGAGAGACCAAAGAGAACAATATATGCTAGCGGTGAACTTGGACGGTTACAAATCGTATCAAAGTTAGACACCGGGCAGTGTGCCAGTGAGAATGTTGGGCTCCCAAGGGGGGTGGATGGTGAGATCCCACATCAGTTAGAGAGGGGAATGAAGCATTCCTTATAAGGGTGTGGAAACCTATCCCTAGTAGACGCGTTTTAAAACCTTAAAAGGAAAGCTTAAAGAAAAACAATATCTACTAGCAGTGGGTTTAAGTTGTTCCAGTTCCACAATCGATAACCTTTATTTCCAGCATGATCAGTATGTATCCATAAACCTAATGTATACGAAATCAAACAAATAAAGCTTGTTTCATTCCATTTTTCATGTATAGTACTATTTTGACTCCTACCCTTCAATCAAATTCAACATGTTATGCAGAAAAGTGTAAAGACTGTCAGAATTACATGCCAAACAAGAATTTAAAGTCAGATGGAAACACCTGAGTTTAGTCCAGGCCAAGAGTATTTATAATGGAAGATTCTAAAATCCACAATAACGTGTAAATTCAGGTTAAAGAGAGAGTTATTAACAGAGTTATGTTTCAATAGAAATAAGGTTACCTGCAAGTCATGTGATAGCAACCTTCAGCAAGTTCAATCATGTGATTACACTTCACACATTGGCGCCACAGACATGTTGAAGCCAGGGACTTCAATTTCACATCATCAGTGGGAAGATTATTTGACCTTTTGTAGTCATTGCAGGAAACACGATTATGCCAAGGAACCTTGCAGTTGATACAGAAAAGACCATGACACTTCATGCATTTCCGCATTCCAGATTGGTTGGCACCACTAAAGATGTCTCTAGTGTATTCCAAGACCTCGACTTTTGTCATTAGAGCCGAACATCTTGGATATGGACAATAAACTTTCTCAGAAACGGGTATGGAAGCTTCTTTAATACGTTGGCGCATCGTAGTCATATCTTTTGGTGTCAAGAATTTTGCACAGCTATCGACATTAAGGTCAAACTTACACCCATCGTGCGGACACTTAGGCACCAATCCTTGAAGTAATTTCACTTCCACATGTTGTTTCATACAAGAAGAGCAGTACCGATGCGAGCAGCCATCGACTGCAAACATCCTATTAAAATCACACTCCTCCAAACAAATAACACAAGTCTCATGTAGCTTCTTCTTTGGGGCAGGATCAACAGGTCGTGTGGTCTGAGGAACTATTGCCTCTCTCGCTAGTTTGAACGCAAATTTGATATCATGCCTAGCCACAAGCCTGGGATAGCAAGAGTCAAAATGTGCTTGTTGCAGATGAGTTACCCGATCGAGTAGAGTGACAATCTTGCGCTGCTTCGGTGGCCATTTGCCACTAACCTGTTCACGGCTTAAATAATAAGATTGTTTGTTGTAGTTCTAGAAATAAATTGCAAATCGAAAACTTAACCTGAGAACAACCATTTCAAACAAAAACGTAGAAGCTTAGGAACACATCCAAGTTACCTTTTTCGGAAAATTGCTTTTGTTAAAAGCAGACCTTAAACCATTATTTGGAAAAGATGACTACAAGCTACTGCCTTGAGGACCCATAACTAAAAATGGTAAGACGCCCCAATAATAATGCTAGCCCAATATAGTCAAATAACTGCCATCTGCAACATCAACAGTTAGTATATCTTACCATTTTCAATATCACTTTAAAGCACATCCATCCTCTTCAAGGTTTGTCAAGCTCAATATGATATTTCTGCTAGTGGGATTCCTTTCTATCAACTTGATGCTCGACATGAAAATCGTCACCATTTCTTTATCAAAGTTGCTTAAAAATTATGGGGTCTATCCTTAAAGTTTGGAACTAAACAAGGAACCTTCACATTGCATCATTTTGCAATTCCATCCACTCGTGTAAAAAATAGAAACAGATCTAGTTCCTCAAGTAGCCTAAGAATAGATTTAAAATGGGTTTTAACCAACATTGCCAATACAACTTTTACAGTCATCTTCAGCATTGAAGTCCTACATCCTTAGTAGGTGCTCAAGAAACCAGATAATTATTGAAGACAGCTAAAGGTTTATAATACAGAATGATCTTGGGAGCACTTCAAAGTTAAAACATCATGAGGTTGTGGATAAACAAGTAATTGCAAGAAATTTGCTCAAGATTAAAACAAACAAGAGCACAGAGAAGGCTTACAAACTGATAAAGAGGGTAGTAATCGCAGTAAAAACAAAGGCGCTTCAAATTCAAATCCATAGCTGCGTCCAGTCCTGTGATCAAAGCCTTAAACTCAGCCACTATTTTACTCCTTTCATTCCCTGCAAGGTGTTTTTTCACCTCGAACACTAATTCGTCCTCCGGGTTGCAAATAGCAACACCGATTCCAGCTACCAAACGTCTCTCAATTCCAATCCCTTCCTCACTCACCAAACCTTTGAAATAGAGCTTAAAAACGCCCTGATTCTCAACGCCCTTCGAGCATCCCTCGCCGAAGAAGTGATTCTGAGAAGTATCACCCCACTCGTCACAGTCATCATCGGAAATGTTTAGAATCTCCCTCGCGAAACCGTGATTACGAACCCGACGATCAACTTCCCCGACAGTCCTGCGCATCTCAAATTCCGATTGCAACCAATCTTGGAATATCTGATCGTCATTCTCGATGTCCCTGGAATGGAGTGTGGCGGTTCTGGAGATATCATCGCGTTCGAATTCTTGAAATCCCGGCCGAGGATTTGAGGCGGAGGAGGAGGATGAAGCGAGTGATGCGGCAAGAGCTTCTTCGAGTTGGAGATTGTAGGCAAGGTCGAGGTCCGATTCCAATACTAAGTCGTCCATGGAATCAGCTGAACTATACCTTTGGAATTTGGAGAGGGTTTAGTGGAATTGTTGATTTGGCTTTTTATTTAAATTTGACTTGAATTTGGAGAGGTTTAGTTGAAGGGAATTTTATATCAAAATTTTATTAGGCTAAAAATTTAAATAGATAAAATTTATTTTAAATATTTAGTTTCAAAAAATAATTTTTAACATCTTAATAAATTCAATCCGAGGTATATAAGATAATTCTCAAAATTTAAATATTAAAAATAAAATTTATTTTAATATTTAATTTTAAAAAATAATTTTTATTAGAAGTATATAACATCTTAATAAATTCAATCATATATAATATATACGAGATATTTCTAAAAATTTAAATATTAAAAATAAAATTTATTTTAAATATTTAGTTTCAAAAAATAATTTTTAACATCTTAATAAATTCAATCATATGTATACGAGATAATTCTTAAAATTTAAATATTAAAAATAAATTTTATTTTAAATATTTAATTTCAAAAAATAATTTTTATTAGAAGTATATAACATCTTAATAAATTCAATCCTATATAATATATATGAAATATTTCTAAAAATTTATTTTAAATATTTAGTTTCAAAAAATAATTTTTATTATTAGTATTAACATATTAATAAATTCAATCATTTATAATATACACGACATAATTTCTAAAATTTTAAATATTAAAAATAAAATTTATTTTAAATATTTAGTTTTAAAAAATAATTTTTATTATTAGTATATAACATCTTAATAAATTCAATTCTGGGATAATTTCTAAAAAATTAAATATTAAAAATAAAATTTATTTTAAATATTTCGTTTCAAAAAATAATTTTTATTAAAAGTAAATTCAATCATATATAATATATACGAGATAATTTCTAAAAATTTAAATATTAAAAATAAAGTTTATTTTAAATATTTCGTTTCAAAAAATAATTTTTATTAAAAGTAAATAACATTTTAATAAATTCAATCATATATAATACATACGAGATAATTTCTAAAAAATTAAATATTAAAAATAAAATTTGTTTTAAATATTTAGTTTTAAAAAATAATTTTTATTAAAAGTATATAACATCTTAATAAATTCAAAATAATTTTTATTAATAGTATATAACATCTTAATAAATTCAATTATATATAATATATATGAGATAATTTCTAAAAATTTAATTATTAAAAATAAAATTTATTTTAAATATTTAGTTTCAAAAAATAATTTTTATTAAAAAGTATATAACATCTAAATAAATTTAATAATATATAATATATACTAGATAATTTTAAAAATATTAAATATTAAAAATAAAATTTATTTTAAATATATAATTTTTTAAAAATAATTTTTATTAAAAGTATATAACATGTAAATAAATTCAATCATATATAATATATAGGAGATAATTTCTAAAAAATTTAAATATTAAAAATAAATTCAATCATATATAATAGATACGATATAATTTTTAAAACTTTAAATATTAAATATATATATATATATATATATATATATATATATATTTATATATGTATATATATATATGTAACCGTACAATCCCATCTAGAATATATTTATAAGGCATCTAGCAAGTAAAAGTTTTCGTTCTCATCTCTAAATAATGTGGGATATTACAGTCCACACCTTCAGTGCCCATTATCCTCACTGGCACTAGTTCATTTCTATAAGAGATATGAGACCCCACCAAATCTATCTCCTTTCGAGGCCTAGCATCCTTACAGGCACATTGACTCGTGTCTCCTCCCTTTGAAGAACAACCTCATCGCTGGTACTTAGTCTAGTGTAGGCATTAGTTCATTTCTCTAAGAGATATAGGACCCCATCAAATCCATCTCCCTTCAGGGCCCAGCGTCCTTACAAGTACACCGCCTCGTGTCTTCCCCCTTAGGAAAACAACCTACTCGTTGGCACATAGTCCGGTGTTTGACTCTAATAACATTTATAACGCCCCAAGTACACCGCTACTAAATATTGTCCTCTTTTTAGGATTTTATTTTCGGGCTTCCCCTCAAGTCTTTATAACACGTCTATTAATGATAGATTTTCATATCCATACAAAAGGTGTTTCGTTCTCCTCCCTCAACCAAAGTGAGATATTACACTATATGTCACACTCTATATATTACAGTTTTAGTCTATGAATGAAAATTTTTCGGATTGGCTTGAGAGTTAATCATCATAAAGCACTAGGTTCAGGCCCAAATCCATTGTAGGCCCAAATTTGTTAGGGTAGTTACCCACATATTCATATTTTTTAATACTTAAAACTTAAAAATTACTCTAATTCCATTTAAACGTTCCCTAATGGAAAATTAAACATTAAAATAATTTAAAATTCGAGAAAAACTAATTTTATCAAATTTAGTTAGAGTGAGAACGAACCATTACTTTTATAAAGTAAGAAAATATCTTTTTTTGACCCATTTTAAAATAAGGCTCTGAACTATAACAAATGATATCAAAATTAGTTATCATAGTGAGAGAACTGGTAAGAGTAGGGCTAGATCCTCTTACTACTAGACTAGACTCGTTTTAAAATTGGTAAAATAAAATAAATAAATATTGACAGTGGGATGGCTGTACTTTTAAATTGATGAGAAAAATTTGGTGTAGTTTGAATTTAAAGTCCGCAGCCCCTCTTACTTTATTCCTTTGCAACCAGATGTCGGTAGTCTTATAGTACATAAGGTAAGCCAATTTTATATAAATAAATAAATTTGTAATTATTTATATCAATTTCTCCTTTAATATTCAAATTTAATATAATGTTTGATTTTAAAAGCATTTTTAAATATGATAATACAAATAAAATAATTACTATTAAAATAAATAAAAATATTGATGTAATATATAAATTTAACATTTTTTTAATATGAGTTTAATCGTGATTTAACATGAATTCGATCTCGATGTTTGTAAAAGGATTGGTCCATGTGAAAAATGTTTGCCAACTAAGCAAGTCAGCTCACCAACCAGCCGATAATGCTTTAATAAGAAATAGTACGTGTTACAAGCCCTCATTATGTACCCGTGTTATTTTGTGCTAAATAATTCATATTTTCTAAACTTTTATAAGTTTAATTCATTTCTTAAAAAAAATTATTAAAAATTTTCTTATTGATATTGATAACCGACCATAAATGTATAGACAAAGAAGTGCACAGTGACTTTCAATTATTTTAAGTATTTTGTAGTATTATATTTTTAAAATTTCTTTCATTTGGATGTAGTATCAGTTTATTTATGTACACCTGTTTTACTCATATGTCATGTCACGTTCTCTCGAATCAAGGTCAAAATTATAGAATTTCATTTAAAAAATAACCCTTCATTTCATGTTACATTAATATTGGAAAAGGAAAAAGAGTCCAATTTCAGAAATTTGACCATATTTTTTTATAATTAAAAAAAAAATTACAAAATTTCATTTTTTTGTTTAAACATGGTCAAATGGAAAAGAAGGATGTGGACAAAGTAGAAGCCTTTGTTTGACTCAAAGTTTGACTTAATTTATTCTACAAACTCGTGGTATCTTTAATATTCTTTTCCTTATTTAATTATTAATTTATTTTGTTGTTTTTAAATTTATATCTATTTTTAATCCATCCCCTTTTAAATAATTTAATTTTTTATTTATTTTGGGTATAAATTTTTTAATTTTTTCTAAATCATTCCACTAGAATTTAAATTTTAAATGGAGTATTTTAAATTTGAGGAAACTAAATTTGTAATTTAATTTTTTTTATCTCAATTAAAATAAATATTAAATTACAAATTTAGCCTCCCACTTACAAAATTGATAATGTTCACGTACTTCTAGATACACCATGTGACTGGCTATAGCCTCCAACAAATTTTAAAATTTACACCTATTTAATTTGATAAATTTTAAAAATATTTACAAAATTAAAATTATATAATTAAATTTTAAATATTATTATTATAATGATATAATTAAGGCGGCAAAAATTAAATTTACCTCTATTTGAAAATTATAATTCAACTGGCGATCAAAGTAGGGTAAATATTATAGAGTAAACTCAACTTTATTAAAAAAAAAAGTAATTTATTGGTTTAATTTTAATTTTGGAAGCTAAATTACAATTTAATCCTAGTAATTTGCAAATAATTACATATTAAAGAAATTAAATGATCAATTTCATCCGAGGGTAAATTAGGAAGGATTTATAATTTTCTCTATCTTTCTTTTTCATGTTTATAAAAAGGCTCAAAAGACTAGCTTTATGTCTTTTCCATATTTAATATATTTAATTTTAAATTAATTAATAAATATTTTAACAATTGAAATATAAAAGATTTTTTTTTGGTAATTAATTTGTTTTAGTATGATATTATTTTTAGTTTGATATAATTAGAATTTTTTTTAATTAAAATACACTTTTATTTGTGTGTTAATTGACTCATGAAAAAATAATAGGATAGTTATGTTGGTGACGGTTGAACCTCGAGGTGACCTTCGTTTTTCTTCTCAAATCTCCTCTTTATCTCTCATTTTTTGTTTCTTCGAATCATAAATCTTACCGTCACTGACTTCCTTTTTCTGTCAATCATTGTCATCTTGAAATAACAAAAAACGAAAAACCCTAAGAGTAAAATCTGATGTTATTAAAGATTTGGAAGGTGAATATCGTCATTTTCTCACGGTGTTGTTGTAAGGTGAATTGTCATTCTAGACCTTCTAATATGTTTACAAATCAAATCAGGTAGTTAAAAACTTGGTAAGACACCGTAAAGTGAGAAAATAAAATTTCACAGAAAATATGCAAAAAAGCTTTATGACGACAAAGCACGAGCTAGAACACAAAAACAAAACAAGAGCTAAAATTGAGAGAAAATGTGAGATCCCACATTGGTTGGAGAGGGGAACGAACCTCTCCCTAGTAGACGCGGTTTAAAGCTATGAAGCTAACAGTGATACGTAACGGATCAACGCGAACAATATCTACTAGTAGTGGACTTAGGCTGTTACAACAAAAGCTGAACACATTACTATCACTGATTGATAAGTAATTTTACTAGTTGATAACGCAAACAAAAAGTGATAAAACTTTAGTTTAAAAAAGTGGGTCGTAATTTTTCCTCATTTAAAAGTTATTTTTTAAAAAATAGAAAAAGATAGAAGTTACTCCTAAACCAAAAAAATTTGATATTATGGTACATTATGATTAATGAAAGAGGATAAAGAAAGTAACTTTTTGAAAAAGATGGGGACAAAAGGACAGTAATAATTAATATTTACAGAACCGTAACTTTTAAAGGGGAATTAACCAATCTTAACAAACAACATCCAAAAGACAAAATACAATATTATGGTTGGATTTGTCTGTGTTGGTCAATACCATCTTTTGACTTTCTTGAACAAAACAAACGCCCTCGACGATTTTCAACTTTTTTATTTTATTTTATTTTATTTTTATTTCTGATCAGAATATTTAATTCTCGAGGGAAAAAAAAAGTAGGTCACCAGAAAGCTAAAGTGTAGTTTTGAATTGCAATTATAATTATTTTGGTGATATTTTTTAAAAAGCAATAATTTGTATTGATGGGATGGAACCATTCATAGTTATTCACGACTTTAGATATTACACTAGGTTCCGACCATAATTAAACGAACTAACGATAATTAAAATCATATTTTTAAAATTTTAAATTTTGATTAATCACCCATATTAAAAGTACAAATACTTGCTATTAAACGCTTATTGAGCTATTATAATTCAACTCTATTACTTTAATTCGATAAATTTAAAAACTATAAAATTAGCGCAAAAAAAATTGAAATTTTGGGTTTGATTGTAACAATATAATTTGAGAACGAGAGCAGTATAATAATACCTTTAGAAAGTTGTTCGTGTTCTTTACTATTTTTAAGAGTCGAATTATAGGAATTTATGAGGTGGGTGATTATTAGTGTAATCGTATTTATAATCATATTTATAAAGATTAATATAAGAATATACATATATATATATATATATAGATGTATGTATATCTGTTTGGATAGTATTGATTGGTATACTTCGCTTTCACTTTGATTATGCCAAGACAGATGCATTGTTTTTTTTTTCTTCTTTTTTGGCCTAAGCAGAGAGATTATGGAAAAAGACGTGTCCCTAATGAAGCTTTGGTTTCCCTCTTTTTTTGTCCATTTGAGTACTAAATCGACCAAACAAGAAAGAAAGTAAAATTCTGTTGTATTTTCCACCAAGTCTCTCCTACCCACAAGCACAAATTGGCTTGAATTTGGAGAAACTTCATTGGAACTTTTTATCAAACACCTTACATGCACAAAAAAAGGTAACATAATTCATGTCCAGAGAGGTTCCCACAGTGGGTTTACATTGGTATCATCAAAGTAGCTTGGGCTGCTGATGCTGTGGAATAAGCCACTGTGAGAGTCGGCATTCAAATCATCAAAAGAAGACTGATGAGATTGAGCTAATTCCCTGCAAACGAAGGCCACGAGATTGGCTTGTTGGCATTGCATGTTGACGACCTCTGCTTGGGCCTTGGCTAGCTGTGCTTGAAGCTCATTGACTTGCTTTTGGAGTTGGCAAATGGCACCTGCTGATCCGTAAACAGGATCTCTGATCCTCGCACTCGCTTCATAAACCAAGCTGCTCACTGCATCTGCTCTTTGAGATTCTGGCAGTTCCTGTATAATCAATGTCCCAAGAAATTTTTCAGTTCATAACAAATTGGATATTTCAGAGAGCTCTTCTTGTATTGTAAACTGTAATGGACAATCTCTCTCTGTTTGAAGTTTTTTGTGCTAGATTTTCAAGAGGCAAAAGGAATGAAACAAACAGAACCAGAGGTATTGGTGTGAAACAATGGTTGGATTGGTTCAACTACTTTTCAAACTTCCACACTTGAAAAAGCTATATTATAAATTAGGTGAACATGTTAATCGAAATATAATCTAACGTTTAGTATAGAGATCGATATTGAGATGTTTAATCGGTCAAGTGGCTGAAAAGACGCAAGGAAGAAAGTATTAGGATCAAACAAAACGTTAGATAGAAAAGTCTCATATGTATCCATTTTGCTTGCACAATTAATTTACGGCTCTTCTAACAAATCTCAAGAAAAGACAACTTTAGAAATTTCATTTTCCAAATCTCACTGCATAGTTTCTCCATGTGTAAAATCTTTTGCCTTCTTTTTTGACAATCCTGTTAGTCTCCTTAAACGGCTTTTCACAGTTTGTTTCATATTAACATACAAATTAACGTGAAACGGAAAATATGGAAGCAACAAGGTCCTTAGTTCATACATTTCAGCCCTAATCCATTGATTTAATCTTCAAACTAAGCGATCGTAACAGTCAGAAATCATTCACAGTTAAAAGAAACAGAAATCACGAATTCACGAACTGTAAAAAGCGGATGAAAAAAAGACCTGCAAGAATTTGATGATATTGCTGGCGCCAAAAACACGATGAGCGATGGCGAACTTCGCCGGCTCAGTGGGAGGAAAATAGGGCGCCAATACACATCCCTCAGCACATCGCCGCCTCAAAATCTTGCAGGCCGCACATGGACTGAGAACGACAGGCGGTGGCGGTGCCGGAGAAGAAGAAGAGGAAGGAGATTGAGATGGTGGAGTTGATGAAAGGGTGATGATTGAATCACTGCCTTCCATTTCCAACGAATCGGAGCAAAGAAAAGAAGAAGAGATGATTTGGAGTTTCAGAGGGAAAATCAGAGATATAAATAGAGAAAAGAACGAGAAGAGAGAAAAGGCGATGAATTGAAGAAGTTTGAAAATTATGGTTAAATCTTTTGGATGGGGCTGCGTCATTAATTCTAATTAGTTAGGTTTGTAATTTATTTTATTTATTTATTTATTATTATTATTATTTATCATTTTGCATTTTTGGGTTTTTGTAATTATGTGTGTGAAAACTATTTTCGTTTAGACAAGACCCCTCCTCTAGAAACTATGTAGCTACGAGAAACTTCCTTTTAAAAATGATTTAAATTTATAATATTTAAATATATCTAATAATATTAAATTTATATTTTTATTTTATTAAAATTTTAATATCAATTTAAACATAATTAAGCTAGTATATATACATAATTGTAAAAAATTATGACTAATTTTGAAATTATGATTAATAGCTCATCATTATTAATGTTGATCTTAGTAATTAGTGTAAAGGCTTAGTGGCATGGTTGAAAATTAAAATAGGGAAATTATTTTTCCTTATTTAATTCAGTAATCAAATGCCTGATTTTCCAATTATATGACTTTTGTGATTTGAGACACCCTTATCCCTTATCACTTTCTCTATTTCCAATTTTATTGGACTTAAAAGAGTCATAAACTAACCCCACAAATTCAAACTCAACTAATAACATAATACTTTTTGGGCGATACGAGACTAGACGACAAATATATAGTAGTAATGATCTCGAGTAGTTACAATAATCTTCGACACAACGAAGGTAGAGATGTGAAAATCTGAACACCTAACATTAAATGACATGACAGAACACGCTCATGTTGCAATAATAATTGATTCATGTCATGTCAATTCGTAAAACTAAATTTGTAGTTTAACAATTTTAATCCATTCTTACATTAAACACATCTCATTAATTCATTCCTAACCGTGGTTTTGGGCTGTTACAAATCTAACGAGTTAAAGTGGACAATATCTACTAAAAGTAAACTGAAAGTGGATTGTGAGATCCCACAGTTAGATAGGAAAATGAAACATTTTTTACAAGGCTGTAAAAACCTCTCCCTAACAAACGGATTTTAAAACTGTAAGGGGCTCGAGTTGTTACAAGTTTCATAATATTTTTTTCAACGAGAAAGTCCCACTCAACTAATTACTACCAAACATTTAGTGAAGCAGACTTTTTCTTGAGCTTTATGAGTTAAAAAAGTGTCAATACATGCAGTGGTGGGTGGCTGCTCCCACCACTGAAACAATGCTCTATGTTTCTACTCCTAATACCACCACCACCTTTCAACATCTCCATTGCTTTGAAAATCTTATAAACATTATCAGATTAAATATAATCACCATTAACATACTTATACATATGACCCTTTCACATTACAGAGAGATAGAGATTCTGCCAACTGTTATATTGCTATTGGATTCTAACTTTATGTGATAATATTTTCCACTACTGAGAAAAATCCGTGTACCTTCTTTAGACTTGTGATATATTCCCCATTCCATCTTCGCCTATGCCACTTCAAGAAACAGTTCTTTCCGTGTGGACCTATGCAGCCTTTCTCTTTTAAGCTCGTATGATCTGGATTGCCCCATCGTTTGCACTCCGCAGGAACTACACGATTACTCCAACGATACGTTTGGTATACAAAAGTGGCAGACAACTGCATTGGAAAACGACAATCACTTATTCTTATAACCAAGAATCTTAAGATGAACACAATGGTGTGAATCGGATAAATGAAAAGAAAAGAAAAGAAAAGAAAAGAAAATGAAGAGAAAAGAAAATGTCATATATGGCTGTGGGAAAGCAAAAATGTTCTGAACGTGATGCTCACGTAGATACTTCTGCAACTTATAAGCTTTTAAAAGGTTTGTTAGATCAAGATATCCATTACTGAATCATAAAAACCAAACCAAATTAAATTAAACTGTAACCGCCTAAGCCCACAGCTAGCAGATATTATCTTCTTTGGACTTTCTTTTTCAGGCTTCCTCTCAATGTTTTTAAAACGTGTCTGCTGGGGAGAGGTTTCTACACCCTATAAGGAATGTTTCATTCTCCTCTTCAACCGATGTGGGATCTCACAATCCACCCCCCTTCAAGGACCAGTGTCTTTGCTAGCACTCTTTCCCTTCTCCAATCGATGTGGGACCCCTCAATCCACCTCCTTTGGGGCTCAGTCTCCTCGCTAACACATCGCCCGGTGTCTGGCTCTGATACCATTTGTAATAGCCCAGGCCTACCGCTAGCAGATATTGTCCTCTTTAGACTTTCTCTTTCGGGCTTTCCCTCAAGGTTTTTAAAACGCATCTGTTAAGGAGAGGTTTCTACCAACCGATGTGGGATCTCACATTAACACACCCAAATCTCCTCGGTTAGGTAAATATCATGTCTGCCACCTGCCAGTGAAGAAATATCATAATCAAGGTGAATAACAGTGGCGGCATTCTCATCCCTCCAACTGTACTTCAATTATACGGCAACAGATGTTTTGATCAAAGCTAGTCAAAGTTGAACATTCCCTTCAACACAAGCAACAAGGAAAAGTGGTAGGTTGCAAACTTAATAAATATGAAACATTAATGTTACAAAGTGAACATGATATTGACATTATACTCTTCAGGTTCATGATCATCTTGAAAAAAGCTAATGGCAGGGGCTGTAATTACTACATAAAGAATCAATCATGGTAATTAATCCTAAAAGCAGCCGCCTACTTGCGGGCGGCGAAGACCAGTGTGCTAATTCTTGACACTTGGCTGAAATTTTCAAACGTATGAATAAGAAAAACATATGAACACAGCCAGCATAGCAGTAGAAGACCCATACAGATGGACATTGAATTGATAACATTGCAAAATTTCAATCCTACAGCTCCCAAGAAGATAAGGTTAAAAAAAAAAAAAAAGGTATGAAATAGCCAGTGTTTTGCAGCTCCCATGGTTTTCTTTTAACTTTTGATTTCATCAGATTTAGAAGTGGCTGTAAAGTTTTCAAGTTTCTAGAGTGTTCTTGATAATTAGACTTCATAAGCTGTTCACACGTTTTAGGCACAAGGACTTTGTAAGATTGCAGCTTCCCAATGGTTTCTAGAGTGTTCCTGCTTTTGTTTTTCATTTTTCACCATTTTTTTACATTTGTTCTCATTAAGGAAACATTTGAATACTTCGTCAAATTCTAAAAACAAACATAAATTTTCAAATACATTTTTCCATAGATGAAGGTAATGTTTATAAGATCATGATTAAAAAAAAAAAAAAAAAAAACTAAAAAATCAAATGGGTAATGGCCTAAGTTCTATTCGGGCTTCCCCTCAAGGCTTTAAAACGCATCTGTTAGGAAAAGGTTTCCACACCCTTAGAAATGGTGTTTCACTCTCGCCAACCAATGTGGGATATCACAACAATGGCTATCAAACAAGATCCAACATACACGGTAATATATTGTCAAGGTATGAAGATTAACCGGGGGAGGGACAATACGTTTACATGGTTTGCCAGTCAGCTTTTAGCTTTAATTGTTCAGCTGAGGTAGGTTCAGGCTGAGGGTGACTATTTATCCATATATGGGGACTGTTCAATGCAAATTGTTCTTGGTTGTCCAATATCTTATTAAAGGAGAAATTATCTGTCACTATCAAAGAACTTTTTGGCTTTAAGCTAATTTGAGGGTTGAGTACAGAAGAAAAAAGAAATTAAGCTCTTAGGTGAATGAGAGCCAACTACCTAATATTCTCATTGTCAGACATCTTTGAAAAATCGCAAAGAATAGAGGAATATTGAATAGAACCATATCTATGTGGCTTAAGAATACTCTCTCTTATCCACAAAGTAAAGATGTTTATCATTACATGCCTCTAAATGAAGGTTGCATCATAATAAACGGAGAAATAGGAATAAATCGCCTGTTGAAAGGGAGGAAAGCACGAAGACCATTGTAATAGCCCAAGTCCACTGCCAGCCGATATTGTTTTCTTTGGCTTTTTCCTTTCGGACTTTCTCTCAAGGTTTTTAAAACGAGTATGTTAGGGAGAGATTTCCACACCCTTATAAGAAATGTCAATTTGGGGTCATGTCAATCGGGGGACGTGTGGCCTTGGGCTGTTACAAATGGTATCAGAACTATACACCGGGGGACGTGTCAGCAAGAAGATTGAGCCATGAAGGGGGGTGAACACGTGGCGGTGTGCCAGCAAGGATGCTGGGCTCCAAAGGGAGGTGGATTGGGGGATCCCACATTGATTGGAGTAGGGAACGAGTGTCAGCAAGGACGCTGAGCCCTTAATGGGAGGGTGGATTGTGAGATCCCACATTAGTTGGGAAGGAGAAGAAAACATTCTTTATAAGGGTGTAGAAACCTCTCCCTAGCATACGTGTTTTAAAAACCTTGAGGGAAATCCAAAGAGAACAATATCTACTAGAAGTGGAATTGGACCGTTACAACTATATTCCTCCGTTTCTGTTGAGCAGGAGAAATCCACGCTCTACAAATCTGTTATGTTGAAAACAACGGGTTTTACCAAATCATCAAAGCTGATGAACAAAGTTCCAGAATCAAGACCAATGGTCCAATAGGTGCATTTCATCACAAGCCCAACTCATTTAGAGACTTTCCTGATATGACAAGGGAGGCCTATTTGACACATGGTTAGACCAATTTCTGTGTATACAAATAGGATTTGCCTTCAAGTAAGAACATACCAGAATTTCATAAACCCACAATCATTTAACCTTTTTGCCAAGTAGGTAGCCCATGACCCAGTTTGGTAGAATCCAAACTAGAGGCAAACTGTATTGAAATATAAAAGATGAACTTATAAGATAAACCAAGTAATTTGGGGAACTTGGACCTTCCCCTCTTGAGATCACTCGAGCTCTAAATCAACTGAATCAATATTCCCTTTCCCCTTCCCCGCCCCTACTATTTATAACAAACCTGCACGACCACTTTATCCTAATAGCATTCCAGTCAATTGTATTGTATCAAGGCAAGAGGAAGGGATAGTACTCATTGGAAGTGTACAATCAGAGTTACAACTTACCAGCATGGATCACAACCAACTCGATATTGTAACAGTCCAAGTCCAAATTCCAAGCCCACCGCTGATAGATATTGTCCGTTTTGGCCCATTACATATTGCCGTCAAGTTCACGGTTTTAAAACGCATTTGCTAGGGAGAGATTTCCACACCCTAATAAGGAATGCTTCATTCCTCTCTCCAACTAATGTGAGATCTCACAATCCACCCCTTTGGAGGCCCAACATCCTCGTTGACACACTACCCGGTGACTAGCTATGATACCATTTTAATAGCCAAAACCCACCGCTAACCGATATTGTCCGCATTAGCCCGTTACGTATTGCCATCAGCCTCACAGTTTTAAAACGTGTCTACTAGGGAGAGGTTTCCACACCCTTATAAGAAATGTTTTGTTCCTCTCTCAAACCGATGTGAGATGTTATAGATATACTCCGTTATCGACCTGATGGTCACGTTAAAATCTGAATCCAAATTTATTAAGCATTTCCACTGCCCAGCCTGGTTACCTAAAGCATATGATTATGAAGTCCAAACAACAAAAGGATGTCATGTATCCTTTCTACATTCTTATTAATGGAAGGAGCATCAGCTTCTTCCTGAAAAACCCCTCGGTGATCATTCTATCTAAAGCTCCTAACCATATCGTGGAATATTCACCTATCCCCACCTACATCTGCAGAAGCTGGAGATAATACCTCATCTGTGAACATGCCCATTTCCACTAGCACATTTAAACTTGTTATCAACTAGGTCCTGCTGTAAAGGTGGTAGGATATGAGATCCTACATTGATACGAGAACGAAACATTTTTTACAAGTGTGTGAAAACATCTACCAAACAGATACGTTTTAAAATCATGAGGGAAAACCTAGAAGGAAAAGCCCAAAGATAACAAAATATCTACTAGCGGTGAGCTCACCGTCGCCGTCAGCCGTTACGTATCTGCATCTCCCTTATAACTAAACATCCCTTATAAAAGTGTGAAAATCTCTCCTTGGCATACACGTTTTAAAATCGTGAGGTTACGACGATATGTAACAGGTCAAAGCGGATAATATCCGCCAGTGGTGGGCTTGATTGTTACAAATGCCCACAGGCGTTCCAAAAATAATGTTGCTAAGAACAAAGAACACCTTCAACAGCCAGGGCTCACAAGTAGAGACAAGCAAATTCAATCACAGTCTATCTATTCGTACAGTCTCAGTTACAGTATAGGATGAAGGCGAACCAGCCCTCAGGTAGGCCTCAAGAACGATCAGCAAACAGATCGATGTAAGAAAAACGAATATTCAAATATCAAGCATAAGACAGAAGACGAACCAAACTAAAGCGCCAAAGATATTTCTCAGCATTGTACGATCCGACCATTATCCCGATACAATATGTTCTACTAGTTCAAAATCATAGGTTAGAATAACTTGCCTCGAAAGCCGCCGGAGTCTTCTTTGGCTATCGTCTGGAATCCGATCCAATCAATAATCAACCAACAAATTTGCAGCCATGATATGGTAAGGCCAATAGCCTCCAGAGCCGAGAGGCTGTTCTTGAAACTCTTGGGTACATTTCAATCAATCGCCGCTTTTGTCAATAGAAAAACCTAACCCGCAACGAACTCAATCTGCCATACATAGCTCTTTTTAATTAAATTTTATATAAGTAGTATCAAATTTATATGCTATTTACATTATTTTTTAATTATATTTTTAAAAGTTTCCATTCACCTTAATCACCTTATTTAGGCGACACTAATTCGAGTTGACTGACTCGTGAGTAGCTCAAATGGCTCCATGATCTATCTTCTCCCTCGTTTCTTTGCGACGCTGCTTTGATTTCATATTTGGCGATGTTTCTTCGATCATATGGAGTGCACTCTGTTCATATAAAATATTAATAAACCGTATCTCTGCTCTGCCATGAACCTCGAGAGCTTGAAACTTGCAGGCTTTTGGTCTTTTCAACGCTTTAATAAAGTATATCAAAATCTCGTCCACTTCTTCTTCTAAGCCTTCTTCACCGCACAAATGGCTGCTTGAATTCTCATTTCCTCCAGGTTTGCCATTTTCTCCTACTCGTTGGATCTATTCGATGATACTCTTTTGAATTTACTGCAATTTGGTTCGAACTGTTTATCGCGACATTCCTCTTGATTTTGAAGCTTCATTTTAGGGTTTTGTTTCGTTATGTGAAAATCTTGGGGCTTAGATATTTCCTGATTGTCCTGCATTTGGTGGAGAATCGACAAAACAAGAAGTTTTGGGTAGTTTTTGTATTCTTTTCTTTTTCCCACCTAAACCCTAAAAAAAAAAAACTCTTCTTTTCATGCGGCGTTTTCAAATTTCAAACCCTCAAAACATTTAATTATTCATGCCACTCTCTCCTTCTTTCACGGCCAAACTGGGAGGGAAGTTAACTTAAAATTTACCAAAATGCACCTCTATGGCAAGGAATTTACAGATGGGGAAGGGCTATTTCTGGCACTTTACATCCTCCATATTTGTCGCTCTCTTGTAGGCCCTTAACACCATTACAGAGAGGGCCTGAGTATTAAAGAAGTGTGCTTGAAACCTGACTGAACTATTTACTTTCTCCAATCTTGCCTGTTCTTCAGAGTTCTTTGTTCTTTTTTGGTTGTGATATCAAAGTTCATTTCCACCATTTTTCTGATCCTCTTGGTTCCTCTATGAACACGATCTGTTGCAGACTTGCTTGTCTTGTGATATCTATAATCAAATCCATTGTGTTGACATCTTTTTTTCCAGAAAGGAAGTGATGCAGACTTCAAAACCCAGGTAAGTTCAAATCATCTTTCTGATTGCTCTTTTTTTTGTTCTTCTCAAAAGGGTTCTTACATGTTTCTTGGTTGTTTCTGGAAATGGGTGTTACTGTTTGAAGTTGAATGTACGTTTGATCCAATTTTAGGAAGTTGGATTTAATGGTAGTTGTTTTTCATTAGTTTATTTGAACTTGTTTCGTTAACTTTCTTTTGATGATTTCAAGCATTTCCTTCTTTTTGTTTGTTTGAAGATGCTGCTCAATGTTGTACTTGTACTTTTACCTAACACTAGTTACCCCGAAGCCCTTCCACCATCCAGCAGGAAGTAAAGACGATTCGTTGTCAATTTTGATTGCCTAAAAATTACATTTAAACATTCCTTATAAGGACTGGAGAGGGGAACGAAACATTCTTATAAGAGTGTTGAAACTTCTCCCTAGCAAACGTGTTTTTAAAACCTTGATAGGAAATCGAAAAGTCCTAAGAGAACAATATATGTTAGTGGTGGGCTTGGGCTGTTACAAATGATATTAGAGTCAAGACACCGGGCGGTGTGTGAGTGAGGATGCTGACTGGCCCCCAAGGGGGGTGGATTGTGAGATCCCACGTCGGTTGGAGAGGGGAACGAAACATTCCTTATAAGAGTGTGGAAACCTCCCCCTAGCAGATGCGTTTTAAAATCTTTAGGGGAAGTCCAAAAGAGAAAGAAACTCAAATAGTACAATATCTACTAGTGGTGGGCTTGGGGTATTACGAATAGTACAAGAGCCAGACACTGGGCAGTGTGTCGATGAGGGCGCTGGCCCTTAAGGGGATGGATTGTGAGATCCTACGTTGGTTGGAGAGGGGAACGAAATATTTCATATAAGAGTGTGGAAACCTCCTTTAGCAAATGCATTTTAAAATCTTGGGGGAAACCAAGGAGGGAAAGAAACCCAAAGAGTACAATATCTGCTAGCGGTGGGCTTGAGTTGTTACGAATGTTATTAGAGCTAGACATTGGACAGTGTGTCGGCGAGGACGCTAGCTCCCAAGGGGGTGGATTGTGAGATCTCATATCAATTGTAGAGGGGAACAAAATATTCCTTACAAGGGTGTGAAAACCTCTTCATAATAAACACGTTTTAAAACTATAAGGGGAAGCTCAGAAGGGGAAAGTCCAAAGAAGACAATGAGACAAACATTCAAGAATCTTAATTCTCTAACAATCTCAATATATGTTCATCACTAACATCTTCTAACACACTATTTTCCACCACCATTCCGTAACAGTGTATCGGCCTAATATCGGGTTTTTATAGTCTCATCTCGCTGCCTGCTACACAAAAATGGTTGTCTTAACAGCATGTGATATATTTTGATTCCAGAAGTTCATTGGAGGCACCCAAAAAGGTCTCTTTGAAAGCTGCTCGTCAAGTTAAGCCCACAGCAGTGAAGTGTGACTCCTCATCTTCTTCCAATCAAACAGGAAAGATATCCAAAGAGAGAAGCACTAAAATCGTTGGCAGGTCACCCAGGACTCCACTGTCAGAGGTACCCGATTTAATGAAGTTTAAATGGTTTGGTTGAGTATAATATCAATCTCATGATGATTCTTTATGTTTTCATTGATGTCTCTCCTTGATGTTGTTCCTGTGCATGTACGGATAAATTTGATTGGATTGACGTAATCCAACCATTATTTAACCACCCGAACAAAAGCTTCCTAAACTGTTCTGTTTGAATCAAGCTCTGTTCCAATAACAGCTCAAATAATATGATCGTAATCTTTTGTGAATAAATAAAGGTCAATACTATCAACTTGGTTATTATTGTGAGATCCCACCTTTATTGGCGAGGGGAACGAAGCATTCTTTATAGAGGTGTGGAAACATCTCCCCAGCAGACGTGTTTTAAAAATCTTGAGGGGAATCTTGAAAGGGAAACCCCAAAGAGGACAATATCTGCTAGTGGTGGGTTTGGGCTGTTACAAATGGTATTAGAGCCAGACACCGGGTAGTGTGCTAGTGAGGACGCTGAGCTCCGAAGGGGGGTGCACACTGGCGGTGCCAAGGAGGATGCTGGGTCCCGAAGGGAGAGCATTCTTTATAAGGGTGTGGAAGCCTCTCCCTAACAGATGCGTTTTAAAAACCTTTAGGGAAATCTCGAAAGGGAAAGCCCAAAGAGGACAATATCTGCTAGCGGTGGGTTTGAGTTGTTACAAATAGTATTAGAGCCAGACATTGAGTAGTGTGCCAGCGAGGGTGCTGAGTCCTGAAAGGGGGTGGATTGTGAAATCCCACAACGGTTGGAGAGGAGAACAAAGCATTTTTTATAAGGGTGTGGAAACCTCTCCTTAGTAGTTGCGTTTTAAGAACTTTTTAGGGAAGCTTGAAAGGGAAAGTCCAAAGAGGGACAATATTTGCTATTGGTGGGCTTTGGGTGGTAGCAAATAATTAGTCATGATTTGTCGATCGAGTTTTATGACTTGTTAAAAAGTTGCAGTAATGTAAATGTCTGATCTGTTTTCTCTCTTGTTCAGAAGAAGTGCCAAACCAGAATATCCGAGTTGGAAGCTCAGATTTCTATCCTTCAGAAGGATCTTAAAAAGGCAAAGGAGCAACTACATTCGTGCAAGTCACGGAAGGACCGAGTCCGAGTAGATGCCGAGGTGTCCAGCGCACCGTCAAATGCGAAGGAGCATCGGCCATCTTCTTCCAAGCGAGCACAAGAAGATGATCAATCTCTGCACTCTACATCTGAGGTCACCGAGAAGTCGGAACCTGTCGACTTGGTTGCCTCAGCCATGGTAAACATAATGCAGCATCTTAAGATCAAACTTCAGGTAGTTGATGAATCCAAAACTTTTCAGATGAACCATGTGGGATCTGTAAATGAGAAGCACAGTAAATTGAAGAACTTACTGTCAGAAACTCTCTCCCTTATGGCAAGCATGAAAAACCAACTCCAAGATTGTGAAGTATCTGAAACTCAGGTCCAAGCACTTATAAGTGAAACCATGGCTCAAGTGGAAACCGCTAAAGAAATGGCGGAGTTGCTTGGATCTGATTCTACGAAAGCCTTTGAAGATTGGAATTCTGTTACTTCGGAGTTGGACGAGTCTCGGGAATACGTAAACTCACTCGAAACGCTTGTTTGTAAACTCGAACCCGCCCTTGCAAATGCTAGCAGAAAAGACTTGGAAATACCAGAAGATGAGACAAGGGAGTCAGAACAGCTTGAAACCGATATTTGCTCTCTTCAGTCAGAGGCAGAGCAGTTGAAATCCGCTCGAGAGGCTGTCGAGGCAGAGTACGAGAGGGAACAACGTCAGTCTATGCTTGAACCAAGATCTGTCACAGAAGCTAAACATGTGAAGTCTGATACAAACTTAAGAGAAATTGAACTCAAGAACGAGTTAGAGAAATCAAGAGTTGAAATAGATGAATTCAAGGCGAAGTTACTCGAGAGGGAAACCGAATTAAGGAGCATCACGGAAGAGAATTTGGAGCTGAGTTGTAAGCTCGAGAAGAGCATATCGAGCCACAGAGTGTACGAACTAGAGAAAGAGCTGGAGGATTTGAAGAACTGCATTGCAGATTTAAAGACTAATCTCTTAGACAAAGAGACAGAATTCCAAAGCATATCAGAGGAGAATGAAATGCTGATATCTGAAATCAGTAAAAGGGACACAATCAAGACGAACGTAAAGGACGAAACGACAACCGAACTAGCTACATTGACATCGACAACAATAGATAGAGGCGCCCAAGTTAAACTCGGAATCCTCGCAGAAGAAGCTGATCGAAGCACGAGCAGAAGATCCATAGGAGTGGCCGAACTCGAAGCAGCACAAGCAGCCAATGCAGAAATGGAGATGGAACTAAGAACGCTGAAAGTGCAGTCGGAGCAATGGAGGAAGGCGGCGGAGGCAGCTGCAGCCATGATTTCGGCTGGAAGCAACGGGGTATCGGTAGGCAGAACGGGATCGATGGACAGCAACTACAACGGCATTACCGGTAAGATCGGTCCGCTATATTCGGTAGATTCAGATGATGATTTACTGAAAAAGAAAAATGGGAATGTACTGAGAAAGATAGGGGTGCTTTGGAAGAAACCGCAGAAATAGAAATGAGGATTGATTGTAGTTGTCATGTTTTTACCACCGCCATTTTGAATTCAGAATGCTATTATTAATAACTTATATGGTAGCAGTTAATGCACTCTCTTAACTCTTTCCATTCACCTGAAATTTGCTAGCTTTCCTTTTCTTTTCATGAACAGTTGGGTAATCTTCAGGGCATTAATATCGGGGTTAAGTCGGGGAGAGTGTGAGAAAATGTAAGTTGGGACCCCATACATTAGGATAGACAAGGGGCGACCTTCAAGTATCATGATACGACTAAGGAGAAGAAAGTAGGTTATGACCTCACAGATCAAGACAGATAAGGAGCAACCTTCAAGTGGCACATATCCCACACACCAAGATAGATAAGGAGCAACCCTCAAGTGGTGCCTATCCAACCATGTGAGGACCAAGATTGAGAAGTGTCACGATGCGATTGAGGAGGAAAAAGTAAGTTGTGACCCTACACATCAAGACTAATAAGGGGCAACCCTTAAGTGGCGCCTATCTAGCCCACGTGAGGACTAAGATTGAGAAGTGTCATGATGCGACCGAAGAAAAGAAAGTAGGTTGTGACCCCACACATCAAGACCCAATATTGAGCCTATCCAGCCACGTGAGACCCAATATTGAGAAGTGTTATGATGCGACCGATGAGGAGAAGGAGAAAGTAGGTGGTGACCCTACACATCAAGACAAACAAGGGGCAACCCTCAAGTGGTGTCTATTCAGTCACGTGAGAACCAAGATTGAGAAGTACATGATGTGACTAAAGAGGATAGTATATTATCTAATACATTATCTAATACACAAAAAATGTACATGGAATGGAAGTTAAGTTGAGGTATATGCAAAATTCAAGAGGAGATATGATAAAAATTTCGCTAGTTTTGGCAACCCTAGGCATTTGGCTGTCCAATTTTATGAACCGGTGCCAGTGGTTTGGTCATTGAGTCGGTCATTTTCATGAGCCAATGTTCACCTCAACTTGAACCGAGCAGGCCCATAACTCTTCTCCTCCCCCTCCTCCTCCTCCGTCTTCTATTCTTACTCGACATTCGAACGCCGTCGATTTCACTGTTTCACAGCCGGCGAATGGAGCCGAGATGGAAAGGGAAGGCGTCAGAAGCCAGAGCTCTAGCAGACCCCATGTCGAAGATTGTACTTCAGCTTCAATCTTCTCTGACACAGTCGGACGCGCAAGGATTATTATCTGGTTGTAGTATACTTTATCAAGCCGATGAAGAACAAACCGATCTTCTTAATCGCGCTTGTTTCGGCCGAACAATTATTACCGCCGATATGGATAAGCAATGGTTTCAATTCGGAATGGAGGAGGCTTTTTACTTGTCCTATCATTTGAATTGCCTCAAAATTGTCGATGGACAAGATCGTGAAAAGAATGTTCAAGAGCTGTGGCAGGATATGAAGTCCCAAAAGGCTACATTCCCTGAGTTTTACATGGCTTATCAACATCTTCGAATGAAGAATTGGATTGTGAGACCTGGATCTCAATATGGCGTTGATTTTGTGGCTTATCGTCACCATCCGGCTCTCGTCCACTCTGAATTTGCTGTTCTTGTGTTGTCCGAAGGAGGAGGCAGTAATGAAAATGGGCGATTAAGAGTTTGGTCTGATTTTTTATGCACAATTCGGCTTTGTGGAAGCGTTGCAAAAACGCTGCTAGTTCTTAGCGTCAATGATAATGGAAACGGTTCTGTTTCTCCTTCTTGTTTGGACAGTTTCTCCATTGAAGAGCGCACAGTTACAAGATGGAGTCCTGAACAGTGCCGCGAAAATCCTGAAAAAGTGTGAAACATACCAAGTAAGATATAATTTTCGCTCTTCTTTTGTTTTTTTGGATAATCTCTAACTGTTCTTCATGTACAATGAAAATCAACTATCTAGAGCTTCATAACAAGTCTAGTTTCAGATGGATTTTGAAGATGATATAATGTCATAATCATGTTCTTCCAATTACTTCTTACTTGAATGCTTTGGGGCTAAGGAATTGCTAGAAATTACACATATTGTTCAGGAATTAACATGAGCTCCTAGAAGTGACTACCAACAGTAGTAGTTTGAATGTTAAATTATTGCTATACTCAAAATTTTACTCTAGGTAGGATCTATTTGATCTTTTATTTATATTCTTAACGTTTGAGTAAGTATCTAGCTGGATTGTGAGTACTCCTCCTGTACTATCCTTTCTTGGAGAGTTCATCTTTTGTTGATAGCTAGGTTTTCCTTAATTTTCCCCCATTGGAATGTGATGAACAAACTAAAGACTGATTAAGGCAGTATTATTTGTCTGAGACATGTTCCTCCAGCTTTCTTGGATCACCTCTGCCAGACTTGTCTCGTACCCATAACAAAGTTACTCTATTTGGAGAGGCAAACGAAGGATTGCTTATAAGTGTGTAGAAACCTCTTACTAGTAGACACATTTTAAAACCGTAAGGCTGACGGTGATACGTAACATGTCAAAGCAAACAATAATTGCTAGCGGTGGGCTTGAGTTGTTACAAACGATATCAAAGCCAGACGCCGGGCATTGGGCCTCCAAGGAGGTGGATTGTGAGATCCTACATTGGTTAGAGAGAGAAACGAACCACTGCTTATAAGGGTGTGGAAACCTCTACCTAACATACGTGTTTTAAAACCGAGAGGTTGATGGCGATGCGTAACGGGTCAAAATAGACAACATTTCATTGTATAGACAAAGCATTTATTACTCTTTTCGTGGAGAATCGGTTAGTCTTTTAGACTAGTCTCATGTTTGAAAGTGATTTTGAACCAAAAAAGAGAAACCTCCTCGGCCTCTTACTATTTTGTTAATCCTTTATATGCAGCCAGCAGTCAAGGTAACCTCTTATGAAGATGAAGAACTGTGTCCATAAATGGAAACCCAGAATTTTGAAATGAATGTAAGATGGTGCAAGATAAGGAGGCAGAGGGAGGATCAGCTCCATTGCTGTACACCGGTAAGTGCTGAGAAATGATGTCTGTTTTAATGGAGGCTATCCTCCTCCCCCGTAAATTTAGAGATTCAAATCTGTCACTCTAAAGGTTACGTTGAACTCAAAAAGAAAAAAAAAATTGAACTAGATTTTAATGATAGTGACTTTGTGACGTCCCATCTCGACTTCAACTTAGTTTAATTAGTTGCTGGTTTTCTACCAAATTCAGAGATTTTTCCCTTTATCATGATTCACACTCGGGGAAAAGGAATTCGAAAAGGACAACGAAAAAGGTTATCTCATCTCTCAGCCATAAGCTTATTGTGCCGATGTTTGCCCTTTAGAAAAACACGAAGGGGCAACAAGTTGACCTAAAAGAATCCTAGCTAGTTCGTGCTGACACTTTTCATTCAAAAATTTATTCTACCGAGTAGGTTTTTGAGCTTTTGGTAGCAAGTCAAAAGTTTTAGTCAGAAGCTTTCTCCTACTATTTTCACTCTCTCTGAGTTGCCAAGAAAAAACAGTGTTAAAGTAGCACTCGAGATCTAAGAGTGTGAGCAGTTCAAGCTGAAAGGCTCCCATACTGTTTATATGCTCGAGATTTAAGAGTGTGAGCAGTAAAGTTGAAAGGCGCTCTCTCCTACTATTTTCCCTCGCTCTGAGTTGCTAAGAAAAAACAGTATTGAAGTAGCGCTCGAGATCTAAAAGTGTGAGCAGTTCAAGCTGAAAGGCTCCCATACTGTTTATATGCTTGAGATCTGAGTGTGAGCAGTTCAAGCTGAAAGGCTCCCATACTGTTTATATGCTTGAGATCTGAGTGTGAGCAGTACAAGCTGAAAGGCTCCCATACTGTTTATATGCTTGAGATCTGAGTGTGAGCAGTACAAGTTGAAAGGCTCCGGGCTGTTTATATGGTTTATTTGGGTGATTTCTATATCTTCTAATCAAATTTAGGGGAAAATTAATTTCTTCCGTTATTAAAAAAATAATAATAAAGATTAAATAGACAATAACATATAACATGGGAAACTAATTTTATTTATTAATTTGCAATTTACAAAAAGAAATCCTCAAAAAGAAAAAAAAAAAAAAAAAGAAAATTAACAAGGCGATGCCAACGTGGCAAATTAGTTGTATTTCAGCGAGGATTGGCTTAGCGAAGAACCTCAATATAAAAGCTATGCAACAAGCCTAGGGTTTCTCATCACAGACGGTGCGGCGGCCTCATCACACTAGCATCGTCTCTACCGGCGTCGGAACTTCGCTACCGTACTTGAAGATCCTCTTCTCGCACTCACCATGGGGTATGTCCTCTCTCTATCCTATTTTGGTGTTCCCGAATTGTTTATCGAGATGAGTGTTCTAGGGAAAGAAATAGACAATTTAGTTGAGATTTGCTTGGCTTTACTGGACCATATCCATTTAGAAGATCGAAAAATAGAAGTTCATCTGTTGGCGGGAGTCGCCGATTTATTTCCTTATTGTTTCGTTACTATCGTTCTACATGTGGGAAGAACAGTAGTTGCATCTGGCTTAAGATTGTAGGATACGACTGTGCGCCTAATTTTAATGTGAACAAGTTTGTGGCTATGATTCTAGCTTAATTTAACGAATTTTTACTCCATTTTGATGTTTTTTTGGCTAAAAAAGAATAAATGTCGTTTCTTAACCACTGGAAAAGTTGGCGTTGCTTAGTACAAGCATTCTTGATGGTATGAATATCGTTATGACTTCGATTGAACTGTTAAATGTTTTATTAGTTAATAGCCTTAAATCTAGAGGAAAAATTGACGAGGCTTTCAGGGAATTTGGAAAAAGGACTATGTTTTGTTCAAAGCGGCAGCTGTATTCTCTTTGTTAAAGTAGCAGTAATATCTTACAGGAAAACACGTGGAATGGGAGCGGGACGCAAGCTGAAGTCCCACCGTAGAAGACAAAGGTGGGCTGACAAAGCGTACAAGAAATCCCATCTTGGAAACGAATGGAAGAAACCATTTGCCGGATCTTCCCATGCAAAAGGCATTGTTCTCGAAAAGATGTAAGATGATTTTATTGCTGCTGTTCTTTTCTGAGGCGTAATTAACAAAATCCAATTTAATAAATAGTTTTCTGGTGCAATGTGCAGTGGTATAGAGGCTAAGCAGCCTAACTCTGCTATCAGAAAGTGTGCTAGAGTTCAGCTTATTAAGAACGGGAAGAAGATTGCGGCGTTTGTTCCGAATGATGGTTGCTTAAATTACATTGAAGAGAATGTAAGTATTTGAGGGAAGCTTGGGATTTTCGTTACTATTATCCTCTATTTTTCTTAATATTTATTGGCATGAACAGGACGAAGTTCTCATTGCTGGATTTGGTCGAAAAGGACACGCCGTTGGTGATATTCCCGGAGTCAGATTTAAGGTGGTGAAGGTTTCAGGTGTATCTCTTCTTGCTCTGTTCAAGGAAAAGAAGGAGAAGCCAAGGTCTTAAGCTAAGGTAGATTATGTCTCCATTTTCTTCTTTTCTGGCCAGAGACAACTAATGAGACAACAAATCACGAGTTAAGTTAGATTATCGGATCGGGTGATAGAAACTTTTGCACTGCAATTCTATTGTTGAGACTTGATTATCAAGCATGATTTTCTTTGCAATGAGAACAGCTTCTGTTATTGTGTTAATTTCAGTGAGTTTTGTCTTGGAATGATTCTGTTGATTCTAGAGTGAATGTCTAGTCTAGCCTTTTCACTTCCATGAATCATGGGGCTTAATAACAACACTATCATATGCTGTCGATCCTTCTTATTTTCAGAGATTATTAAATGGGTCAGAGGATGATAATCCTACAAGAACATAATCAATCATGAAATGGCGCTTTCATACATCCTTGATTGGATTGCTGGGGCAGTACTAACTTGGTCGGTCTTGTATTGCCTTTGTCTTTCCTGAACCACAGCTATAATATGGTTGGGAGTGAAGGGTTGGTTCTAGGGTTCGTCTTAAATGCAACTTCTCGCTGGTGCAGAATCCAAGTTTGTTCAACTACACACGCCGCTTGCACATGCATGTTCAATCATCTGCGACACATCCGACTTGCCTCTACACTAGGCTAGGTCATTTGGCTCGACCTTTTCTCTGTACGAGGCCAAGGTCTCTCAATACAACGTCGCATTTCATCTTGTCATCTCGATCCCCATCGATAGGGTCCATGTCTTGATGCCATCTCGAGTCTCGGGATGTCGTCGATCATCATAACTCGTTCGGTCATGCCATCGATAATGTACCCGCTTGTCTTTCATCTCATTGAGACTTCCTGTACACATTCATCCATCCGGGTTCTATCGAGGCATTGGCTCTCTCGTGCCTATGTCATGTCATTTACGAATACCGTGCTGGATAGTGAGTGTATGTAGCAACTTCCAACACGCGGGTTGGGGTGCAATACCGACACACCCATGCCGCTCGGTACTGTCCTTAGAAAATTCATTTCAAAGGAAGCCGTCCGAGATATTCGTCTCGGCACGCCTATACTAACACACATATGTGCAACACGAAGTAGCTATTGTAAATGTTGGTAGTGTGGTCTTCAAATTTTTAAAATTTTATGACTGGTAGACTTTTGTAAATGGTTGGTGGTGATGTGGTCTTATTGTAGCGATGCATGGGGATTGTGTGGAGGTATTTTGGTCCTTTTCATTTAGTCAAAAAAAATATATATATATATATTTCCAATGAGACCCAAAACTAATATTAAAAATAATAATTGTTTTTTTTCCAAAATCAAATGCCTATAGAGGAGGAAAACCAGTAAGGCATAAACACAAAGATTATTTTATTAATTAATTTAAAATAATTAGATTGATTGCTTTTTCCTATTATTAGAATCAATTACAATTTATGTCATAATTATTTTTCATTTATTAATTAAAAAATAACCTCAAAGATAAGTGCTATTCAGGGTAAACGTACAAGAAATCTAGAAACTAAATAAAAAATAAACTCAAAAAAGTGTAAAATTTTAAAATTTAAGGACTAAATGAAAATTAAAAAATAATTTTCCTATAATTTTTTAAAAGTTATCCTGTCAAATTTTATTAGTTTAAAAGTTTTTTTTTTTTTTCCTTGGTGCAAATTGATATGATGAAGTATTTTATGATGTCTTGCAAAAGAGTTCTTTAAAAAGTAGTTTTAGAAATAAAAGTATAAAGATATTTTTTTAAATAATTTTCAAATAATGTTCTAAACTTTATTCAAGTATTTCTTTAAAAATATTTTTTTCCATAAATACATATTTATTTCTATGATTTAAAGTTAATTTCAAGTTGGTCTTTAAGATTGTGTTCCCTTATTATATTAAAATTTTGGCGGAGTAAAAAAGTAAAAATAAAAACCGAAGTTTTTAGGTTAATAAAAAATTGTTTAAGGACAATTTATAAAGCTAAATCAAATGATTATCTTAAATTAGCGAGTAATTAGGGACATGAAATAATTAAAAGATTTTATAAATAATTGACAGTAATTATAAATAAGATCGTAAAATCTCAATTAAGAGATAAAAGGAAGGTTGAGTCCAAATCATATATAAAAGTAAGATTTGAACATTAAAAAATAATATAAAATAATATTCTTTTTTCTTATTTATATTTTTTCAATTTTTTTAACAATTATTTTTCTTTTATCTCTCATCAAATTACTTGGATTAAATAAAATTATAAACCAAATCACGGGAGTAATAATTTTCTAATCCGTAATTAAGAATTATTATAAAAAAAACACAGCTAATCAGTAATTATTATAAACCTTAAATCCGATTTAAATAAATAAATAAAGGCGCGGAGCCCGATACTCATAGACGGGCCTTTCAATTAGTTTTATCGTATTCAAATCTCGAAAACCTTGTCATCTTATTAGCGGTAATATGGGCGGATAGACTCTGCAGGTCCTTTCTCAGTTCAATCTGAATAGGCAAAGAGCCTCACTCGGAACTTGGAAGATTCCGTAATTTGTCGTTGAACAGGAGCAGCAGTAGCAGCCGCCTTTCTCCAATGGCTTTGCCGCTTTCCGCCGAAGATTTCTGTAAGTCATTGTTATTGCACACTACATGTTTGACGAAATGCCCCATCGAAAATACATAACAGTTTCAGGCACGCGTAATTTAATTTTCAAATCAAATCAAACTGTTGACTATTCTCTCACGCCCAAATCTTCTCTATTTGATTTGTCTGCGAACTTGGGGAAAAATCTACCCTGAAATCGGTGCTTATTCTTACTGAAATTCTAACCCATTTGGATTGGAAAGAGACCTTGATTGTTCCTACCGACCCTTGTGAATTATTATAAAATAATTCTGCCACTAGGTGGGTTTTAATATTGGGGCTGGATTTTAGAGATTTTAGAGATAAACTAGCAGTAATCATGGCAGAATATCTTGAAAACAACACTTATTAAAATGCAAAGTTCTATAGCAGCCACCCTTATTGTACTTACCCGGCGTTCAGACTACTGCCTAGATTATGAAACGTCATCTTCAGTTTGGATATGGTTTCAAGGAATTTTAATGATTAGTCTTTCTCTTCTTTTCTTTTGTGTTTAACTTCAATTTCCGCTGGGTTCTGTTGATTCTGTGCAAATTTATACTGTTGGAAGCTTGCAGTTTCTAGTTAAGTATGTTGATAGTACAGACGAATGGTATTAGAGTCAATTGGATAATTTGAGAAGCTTAGAACAGCTTGAAATGACTCTGTTTTGTTGTTCTTTTAAACCATGTAAGTAATCCACGGGCCGCTTGAAACTGTATTAGTTGGAAAAGCATTAGAAAATTTATCAAGATCTCGAAAAAATCACATTAGGATGAACAGATAAACAAGTGAAAGAAAAAAGCTTATCCAAGTTTAACTTTGCTTTCTCTAACCAGAACACTGAAATGACTAGATTAAAGGTTTGATAAGATCAAAATATTACAGGGAATTGAAGTACTTTGTTTAGTTATATGTCAAAACAAATCCACTCCAAGGCCTTACATTAGAGGGCTGTTGAGAAGCCCATGCCAAGATGAAGCTATTCCATTTCCATTGAAATTCCAGCCATCTCTTCCAGAATCAAGATCACCCATGTAATTCCCATCTCCATTATTGTTGAACTGCCATGGAAATCCCCACAAAACCATATTTTGATCACCATTGCCAGCCATCTCTTGCTTCATTGCTGTGGATGCAACAGCGCTGCTGTTATAAGTTTCAAAATTAGGGAACCCACCATTTTCAACCTCCCCAGAGTACAAATTTTGAAAGTTGTGGCTATCAAAAAGACCCATCTGCTGCCTGTTAGATTGATGTTGGAGATTAGCAAATGCCAGACTTAGATCAGTGGACTCAAAGGCTAAGGATGCCGGAAGATGGGTATTATTGAGCATCAAACGGCTAGAATTAGCAGCTTGATCGTGGGGTCTCTTAGAAGAAGGAGATGAAGAACATGAAGTAGAAGGTGAAGGTCTTTTGTTCTTCCTGCAGCCACCACCCACAGGAACATTTCTTAGAGTGCCCCCTTTGGTCCAATACCTTCTGCAGGACTTGCAAAAGTACCTAGGCTGGGAGAGGCTGTAGTTATTGTAGTAGCAGAACTTGGTGTTGGTCGAATCACACCTTGGGCAACGCAGAGCTTGCTCTGGCTGTGGCCTCATTGGCTTTCTGTTCTCTTGCTGTACTTTGGGACATGATATGGCTAGCATGTTCTCCAGTGGTTGGGGTTGAGTTTGAGTTTCCTGAAAGTGAAAGTAAACACATTTAGAGTTAAGAAAGGGACATGTAGAGAATGGTAATGAAAAGATGAGGAGAAGCTATGTCTCATATGCTTACTTGGTGTTGTCCACTTGAATGATCCATTCAAGTAACCAGCAGAATGAATGAAGTTTGAAGACAGAGACCTTTGTCTTTGCTAGAGAGAGAGAATGAGAGAGAGAGAGAGAGAGAGAGAGGTTTGTTGAGGACGGAGCAAGGCAGGGAGATATATAGAGGTATGGAAGCAACAGGGGACACCCCAATACAGGAGGGAGAGAGAGAGAGGGAGGGAGAGAGAGGGAGAGAGAGAGGGAGAGAGGGGCAAGGGGCAGGCAACCTGATCTCATCATTACTGTCTTGATATCAGTATCTGGTCTGGAAACGGTTTGAAATGGGGCGAAAGGCACAGGAACCCAGAATTCTTTAGATGGGGGAGGGGTGGGTCCCAGAGTGGCGTGGAATGCAACTATTTAGTGGACCCTATACGGCTCCATTAATCACCGGCAATCCATCGCCAAAACCTCTGCGACCCTCAACTGGTCCATTAGCCACCAAACCCCAGTGCCTGCGCCTCCCTTGTCCTTTTCCCACCCCCATTAAAATATTTTACAAAATCAACCCACAAAGATTACATATAATATCATATAAGAATGTCTCCATTATTATATTATATATCCATTCCTAGGAAGAATTCTCTCTCTCTCTCTCTCTCTCTCACACTCATAATATAAAACTTTTATACTCCCCTAGCAATAAGAATATCAGTAACATTGTTGTTTTAAGATCTTAGTGGTCTTTTTTATATAGTTTTATATCAAAATTATTGTGCATTAATTAGTTTACATTATATTTATATATATATATATATATATCAAGAATGGTAATAGCCCAACGCCTATTCTAGTAGATATTGTCAATTTTTGTTTGTTATGTATCAGCGTTGACTTCATGATTTAGTTTTCATACACTTTTAAAGAATGTTTTGTTCTGGCCTCCAACCAACGTAGGATCTCACAATTCACTTCCCTTTGGAGCCAACATTCTCGTTTCTACACCTTATAATAAGCAATGTTTATCTTCGTTTCTACACCTTATAAGTAATGTTTCGTTCCTTTCTTAAATCAAGGTGGGATCTAACAATCCACTTTCTTACAGACCACCGTCCTTGTTTTTACACCTTTATAATGAATTTTTTGTTTCCCACTTCAACCAATATGGAATCTCACAATCAACCTCTTTAGGGGCCAATGTTCGCGTTAGTACACCACCCTGTGTTTGGTTCTGATACCATGTATAACTATTGTCCACTTTTGATCCGTTACGCATCACCGTCAGCCTCACATTTAAAATGTGTCTATTAGAGAGAGATTTTTACACCCTTTATAAATAATGTTTCATTACCCTCTTCCACCCAACGCAAAATTTACCATAACATTCCTATATTCCGTTAAGTTACTTAGTTCAATAACTTCCTTGTTGGAATTGGCCAATTTATTTGAGTTAGTTAATACATTAAAGTGCATAATTATAGACCATTTATGTTTGATTTTCTTAATGCAAGCAAGTTTGATTAATATTGTGGATAATACCTAATTATATCGATTCCAACCACTTCTGTCCTCAAGTAAGGAAAGATAAGACAGACGTACATGTACACATCTTCGTTGAATGTACTGATTCAACTAGCAAATAAAATTTATTTAAAAAATATATATTTAAATTATTTAACACTACGCTAACGAATATGCTAAACAATACTTATAAATGTGTGAACAGTATAAAAACTTCAATAGACGTGTTTCAAAACTATAAATATGAAGACTGATACATAATGGATAGAAGCATGATGAGTGATAGGGTGATGAATTAAATTGAGGAATGAAAGGAAATTTATGATTGATGGTTTGGTTTGAATGATGAATGATGAATGATGAGTGATGAGTGATGAGTAGAGTTGAGGTAATAATGATGGGTTTTGGGCCATTGATTGACAACGACAGACGATCTTATCATCCTAATCCCTATGCTCCTTTTTTTTTTTTTTAATCCATTTTTATACCTCAAATAATTATTTTTCCTTTTCTCTTACCTATTTAATTTTTTAAAATAAATAATTAGCTTTATATAGTGTTTTGGGGTAGCCAAATTTACAGCTGGATAATAGTGGCATGGATGAGTAAATTAAGTTTTTTACAATTAATAATTATTTTATAAACTAAATTAAATTAAATTAAATACTCAACATGTAATTATTACTTTTGTAATTATTGAATGTACTTTTTAATCATACATCTAACGATTAGCGAACAAAAGTGAGAAGAGCTTTCAATTATTTATAAAAGGAGGATGAAAATGGTCCACCATTTACGGAACTGTCTTCTGTTTTCATTATTCAATAAATAAATATTCAAAAATTAATTTTTTATTTTATTTTTTTATTCGTTACATATATATATTTAAAAAAAAAAAAAAAAAAAAAAAAAAAAAAAAAAAAAAAAAAAAAAAAAAAAAAAAAAAAAAAAAAAAAAAAAAAAAAAAGTCTTTGGTTTGCTTTCTGTCGTGTCTTTTGTGAGATTGCTGTTGAATATCGTACAGTGATTGCTACTTGACGTTTCATCAATTAAAAAATTAATATTAAAAATTAAAAATTAAAATGGAATTCATTTTTGTTTCTTCCAAATAAGAAAATATTCTTAGTTTTATTTTTTATTTTTTTTATTTCTGAAATTATTAAATCACATTTAATTACTATTTTTTATATAAAAAAATAATATAATATAATATTTATAATGCTATATACTAAAATTCTTATTTTTTATAAAAATATATGAGGTACAACCCAACATTTTTTCCTATGTCTGGCCAAACATTATTTGGTCAGTGGTCAAGCTAGCCTCTTTAGTTTTTTAATCAAATAAATAAATAAAAACAAAAAATTAAGCTACCATAATTAAGGTTCCTTTACTTTAGGTAGCCTCATTCCCCATTTTGTAAGTATATGGAAAACTCCTAATAATATATATATATATATTTCGTAATAGCAAAAATTCAGCTCATTATGTACCATCGTCACCCCTACAGCTTTAAAATACACTTTTTTGGTAGAGATATTCACACCATTATAATAAATGTTTCGTTTCTCTCTCCACCTAATGTGGATTGTTTGAGTGTCTTTTTTTTTAAGAGTGTTTTCAAGAATTACTTACTGATTTAAATAGTCAAGTTCAAAAAATATCTGATTTCCAATTCCTGATATCTTAATTTTGTACGGCTGTAATTTTATTTCTCGAAAAAGAAAAATTCTCTTGATTAAGACGCAATAAACACATGTGACAAATTTTTTGATAATGCTAGGAACATTTCTTTTCATGCGATAATTGACGGTTCAAAATTACAAATATAGAATCTTTGCCTTTCATGGCCTTAATCATGAGATAATTAAGTGGGAGACACCTTAAATATTAATTAATTAATCAACTTAATCAATATTTAAGCTTTCATTTGCGCTATGATTATTGATTAACTACAAAAATAATATATTCTTAACTTTATTAAAGACTAATTAATTTGCCATAATCCCTCCATTAATGACCTATGCTTGTTGCTATTTTACTTCCCTTATTTAAAATATTTTAGAAAATTAACTAAAATATTAAATTCCTAATTTCTTTTAGCTCCTATGATTATAGCTCAATTCTTTTTTTAAAAATACAAAAAGAAAAAAAAGTACGATAAACAAATCATACTATAACGCTAATATATATATTTTTTATGGGAAGATTTAAATTTTCATTTGCTATTTTAATTCATATACTTTTAATAAATTTTTAATCTAATCAATATTAAAATATATTTTTAAAAAATAATATTTAAATTAGTCTATATAGAAAACATTTAAATCTAGATATATTTTAAATAAAAATTATGTGGAGATGGGTAAAAAAACAATTACAAAAACTAATATATATATATATATATATATATTAATTAAATATATGAATTTAATTTAGACCTAAATCGGAGAGTAGTAAGTAAAGTAAACGATAGAAGCTGCAAATATAGTGACTGAATTTTCACTCAGTACGACAGTCTCTTATTCTTCGGATCCCAAGCAAACTTCTGTTGTTATAATTATTATTTTTTGTTTTTGTTTTTATTTTTTCAAAGAAAAAGGAAAATAATATAATGAGAGAGCGGACATAAATGACGTGGTGGGCCAAATAGTCGGAGTGGGCCCATGGGCCTGGATGATTAATCATTGTGGTAGTTGGTTGGTCAAATTCCATCGGTCAAAGAATATATATACACACAAAATATTTGTTTTTTCTATATTTATTTAAAATAATCCAAAGAAAATTAATATATATATATTAATTAATTAAAGCAAAAGTGATAAAATATGGGAATGTGTGCATTGAAAAACATGGGGTTGGGTTGGGTTCTTCTTCTTAGGCTGAGAAAAGAATCTTCCCATTCTCATCCACTGTTTCAGTCTTCCTTCCTCCAAACATCCGGTCGGATCTCAATTCCATTTCCCTTTTTTCTTTTTTCTTTTTTAATTTTTTAATAAGTGTGTGAAAATGCGTTTTACAAACTTTAAGAGGAAACTCGAACGGAAAAGCTTAAATAAGACAATGTTTGCTAATGGTGGGGTTTGAGTGCTCAAGTATTAGAGCCAAGTACCGAACGGTATGCTGGCAAAGACACTAGGCCCGGTGGATTGTGAACTACTATACTAGGAGTTGGACGCTCTAGTATCTTAGCTAGATACTAGACAGTGTGCCAACAAGAACGCTACATTTCCAAAAGGGTAGATTGTGAACTACTATACTAGGAGTTGGACGCTCTAGTATCTTAGCTAGATACTAGACAGTGTGCCAACAAGAACGCTACACTTCCAAAAGGGTAGATTGTAAACTAGTATGCTAGCAAAAACGCTAGTCCTCCAAGAAATGGATTGTAAGCCCTCAATGAGATAGATTGTGAGTTAATGTGCTAACGAAGACGCTGAGAATACTATGTTAAAATATTTTGAAAATACACATAATTTGAAGATTTTTATTTTTTATTTTATTTTTACGATTGATATATTAAATGTTTGGTCCCACGTGTTTTTTTTTTTTTTTTTAATTTATTTTAAAATCTCCTTCGAGTTTGTGATTTATTAGGTGAGTGGGAAATGGAATAAATCCAAACTGGCAATTGGCGTGGTGGTGGTGGAGGCCGTATGATGCAAGTGCTTCGTCAAAATTATTCCAAATGGGCCCATTGGGCCTTTTATTGTGGTCCCCACTTTTCTCCTCCCTCT